AACATTTTTAATCTTTTGAAGTGTAATCATTTTTTTTTTTCAAAAAGTGTTCCTATTGATAATGACTTTATATTTATTGCAGGGTATTTAATAGAGATAAATATAAAATTATAAAATTAATTGAAAGTAAATAACTACTTTATTGGGTTCAAATTTAATTAAAAATGTCTTATATTTTTTAATGGGGGGAGTACATTGATGAAACACCAACCCATTTATTTTTATATGATTTAATTTTATATTTATAAAAAATAACAAATAACTATAACTAATAGTTATTATTAACTTGGAATATCTATAGTACTACAATTAAACAATCTAACAAAAATTAAAGATAAAATATAAAAATTGTAAAATCATCAATGGAATTCTTAACTTTAAAGTCACAAATCATTTTTCTTAATTATCATGCAAAAAGTGATTTTAACACTTTTTTTTTTACTTATAAGTATAATTATAATTAGTGTTCATCTTATGTGTTGTTTATAAATCAACTGCATTGTTCATGACGTATTGATGTGGGGATGGATCAAAATCCCCAGAGGAGAAGGCATTAGGTGGGAAAATACATCTCCAATCCTAAAAATTAGTTTAATAATAGTATAGTAATAATAATAACAATAATTTAGTGGGGAGAGAGTGGTGGCCAAAAAAAAATAATGAGAGAGGAGAGAGAGAAGAAATTAAATAATTCTACCAAGATAATTAATTAATTAATTCTTTTATGATATGATTAACTGAATAATTTTATCAGTCAACTTTTAATAATTACTTATAGATATTATTCATAAACTAGTTAATTATACATTATGAGTTATTTTAACCTAAACATAAATTAGCTTTGTCACTAACGTGATCTTATTTGGCATAGTTCATGAATAATGGATTATAAAAAAAAAACATGAATTCAGTTAATATTTAATTCAACTCTTTTGCTTGGTCATCATCTGCTAAATATTACACCAACACGTAACATTAACATATTTAACAGTTTAGCGTTATCCATAAGTCAAGATTTAACTTGGCCAAAAAAAATAACTCAAGATTTACAAGGAACGCAGAAAAACATTTTAATCAAAGATATATCTGCCAGGTGTCCTAAAAAAGATTTTGTGCTGCATATCATTGGAGCCATTCATGCATCTTTTGTTTGAATCAATATTCCCTAATGCAAAGGAATGGACACGGGTTCACGAATTTTTTATTTTTTAGTGTTGACTAAAGTTTGAAATTGATATAGCCCAACAACAATAGTAACAAAAATATCGAGGCTGTTTAAAATTCTTTTATTTTATTATTTTGAGAATTGGTATTTTATTTTAAAAAGTTTTTGAGAATAAAAAATATAAAAAATATTATTTTTTTCATTCTCTTTATTTTCTAAAACAATAATCACAGAACACCTAAAAATTATTTCTATTTTCTGTTCTCCAGAACAATATTTGTTTTTGTATTCTCCAAAAACTTTTAAAAACATGTTATCAAACTGTTTTTTATTTTTATTCTGGAGAACAGAAAACTGTTCTCAAAATAGGTTTCCCTGATCATTGCATCCTTTATTTGTTGTCTTTATTATAAGATTTTAATATTTCATTTAAACAAGAAAGATAATTAAATTATTAATTTTATCTGAAAATGGAAAAACTTTCTAATTTACCCAAATTTAAATGAAAATTCTGAAATTTATATTGCTTTTATTTTCATAAGCAATGATTTTAAACAAGAATATATTAGAAAATGTAATTAATATTGAACCTAAAAATTCTTCTAAAAGGCTCCCCTGTAATAGGGATGAGAGACTTGAGGGAGTACATGGTTTAAAAATAACATACTCCAATATTTAATAACATATACATTTTTAATATTTAATAAGGACAAAAGAGGAAAGATGGGACCTAAAAAAAATTATAAATGTAGCCTATGAATAGGAGGAAAACAAAAATGTCTGTGTGAGAATAGTCCACTTTCTTGATAAATGATAATATGGTATGAATCTTATTATTGTTATTTTTGGGGAGTTTTTTTTTTTTTAGGTCAGTCTCAATCTCATGCATTGTATGAAGCCTAAAAAACTGTGTTATTTATAATTATTTTTAGTGTTTTATGCCAGATATTTATAATATTGATTTGGTACTTGGTTCATAAAGTTCGTTCACCAATCGTCATCCACATCCCACAACACAACATGACATTGAATTAAATATTAAGAATGCTCCAATTCAGTGGTTTAATGCTTATCCTTACCTAATTATTCTCCTATGCTTGCACAAGGCAGATGAACGAATTCTATACTCTTAAAAAAAATTATAAATAATAATATGTCGAATTTTTGGCCACTATCTATTTCTAAATATTATAATTACTGGTAGGTGTATTTAGACTTTGTTTGGCATCAAGTTCTTTCTCGGAAGTGGATTTTACCACAGAAAAATAAAGTTCTGATTGAATTACGGATATTCAAAATCCAATTCTCTAAACTCGAAATCCGGAATTACTTAAATTACAAATTATAAATTCATCATAAATTGATTAAAAAAAATAAAAAACAATCATATTCAAGTTGATATCTTTAACATTGCAGGTTGTGCTCAATTGTTCCCCAAGATTAGCTTCTAACTCGTGATTTCGTTAATGATATACAACAGTTGCGCAAAAAGATTTATTGAATCCTTATAGATATATATAAAGGACTTCCTTGAAAATACAATGAAGCCAACCAACAAAACTTATCTAGTTGATAAAGATGCTACTTATGTGGTATTCCATAATAGCGTTAATTCGAATCTTGATGCTAATATAAGAAGTTCATTGAAGAATAATTAATTATACATTTACAAAAGCTTTTTGAACCGTCAAATAATTAATGAGTCCCAGAAGGCTGAAATACAACCCAATTAAACCTTTTTTTATTTTTTTGAAAGTACAAAGCTTGGTAGATTGATACGACAACTAAAGGAAATCAGCAAGGCAAAACAATCACGGAACCCAAAAAAAAAAAAACTATTTTTTCCTCATCCAAATTCTGTCATGCTTTTATCTTAGATATCTATATAATTATAAAACTCTCAACAAACACAAACTGTAAAACAGTATAACAGATCCTATTATCATTTATCAGTAATCTGTTTTTTCTAAAGATACAAGAATCATAGTCATAATCCATCTGTTTCTATTTTACTTCCATTCAAACCTAATGTACCAAACATAACATTCTCTCGCAATTCCTCGTCCTGAAACAACAGCTACACGTTGCCTCTAACAACCACCCTGTCTACAATGTTGAATTTAAGTTCTATATCCGCAGAAACAGAAGTCAAAGACAAAGAATATACCTCAACTGTTGTAGATCTGAACATTATTCTCATCAAAGATTGGTGGTAGTTTTCTTGTCAAGTCCACATGCAATAGCTGCGGTGGAGGATTCTTTTATAATCTGCATAATATACAGTCTAATAAATAAGTTACAGTAATGCAATTTAGAATTTTAGACAGTAAAGGATAACAAATACTTTAAGGGGCTCGCTTGTAAACATGGTTGAGTGACTGGGATGGGTTTGGGTTGAACATTGTGACATACAGATGGAAGAAAAAAAATCAAAGATTCATACGAAATAGAAAATGAAATTTTGAATTTGAATCTTAAAGTTATAACATTGTATAATACCTATTAACTGAGAGAGAGAGAGAATTGAGTCGATAGAAAGAGATCAAGTGGGTCTCATATACACTCCCTAGCAGTGGATCATCACTTGATCTAGTAGAGGAATCCAAATTCCAAAATTCTTGATCTAGTGCACATGATGCAACACTGTAAATCCATCTTTCAAGAAGAACTGAAAGAGGGGAAAAAAAAGGCGAGATTTCATATATGCTGTGTTCTTGAGAGGTTTTACAAACAATAATTATAGCTAGCAAAGGACACAAATATTAGTAACTTCAAGGTTTCAGTTTATGTTCCAAATAGGAACAACAAAAATGGATTTTCAGAACATGACCTGTTATTTTAAAGAGAAGTGCACATATGTCATTGAATTTCCCCACCTTCAAATCCAAGGACATCAATTAAGAAGCATGCTCATTAAAGGGGAACGACAGATATTTTCCTTGATTTGAACTGTCTTGAATATTGTGTTCTGCTTAGATTTGTTACGTGCTTTGTTGAATGGTCAATGGTAGCTATGCTTTAAAGTTGAGGTTTAAGGAAGAATTTCCAGGAGTCATACCATTTCCTCAAGTGTTGTGCCCTTTGACCTAGTCAGATAGCTATATTAAAAAGAAAAAAAAAGGTTTTACCATCCCATTCACCCCAACCTTCAACTTATCAGTGGTGAAATAGTTAGTTACACAGAACTAGAGTCTCTAAGGCTAACGCTTTGAACTCTACTTAGATTTCTCAGTTTATCACTAAACTGGGAAACCCATCCAATCTCCCAATCTCTATTAAGACCAATAATCTAAACGCTTGAATTGACCTCTTCAAAGGACGATAGATCTGAAATATACGAGGCAGCATGAATATGAATTGAAGCATCCATCACCTATATTTTATATCAATGACAGAGGAACCTAAAGTCAAGGCACCTTCTAACAAAGATCTACAATCACGGTTTAACAAATAAAATCATCACATCGAAGCTCACGATATGCAGCATTTTGGTTTATGGCCAAAGAATAATTAGAAATAAGTAATTCTGTTAAACATTATTACCTTCATAATGTCAACAGTTGTTAAATGCCTTCATTGGGTTGAAAGTCGTACATCTTCCAACTTAAATTGCAGAACGGTGAAGTCAAATTACAGCATAAAACATTAAAAAAAAAATGCCTCTGCTGACTGCAAGCAAGAAGAATTTGGACTGAGTCTTTACTGAATCCAAGAGCTTGACCTGCATGTAGGACAAAATTATAGCCAAATCTCTCTGAAGTTGAGGAACAGACGTTGCACACAGATGTGACAATATCAACTAAGGTGTTTATAATCTATAAACTACAAACATCTCTGTAATAATGGATATGGCTTTCTTTTTGAATTGATATGGCCAAGGTCAAGACCGTGTGATTACAAACAAGTCAAAAAGAGTCTAAAAACGTAATTGATATGATTTTTACATTATAGACTTGTGTGCAGCTAATGATGCACAGTTTTTGAAAACTGAAAAGTCTAATCTACTATCTTGCCAACTTGGAGAATAGACTGGGCTCATCTTTGATGGCGACAAGAGAGACATGAAGGGTGCTGCCAAGAGAACAAAAACCAAAACAATATTCAGTCCACTAATAACAAAAATAGCCTTTGTAGCTTGGTACTGAAGTTGTGAAAGTAGACGTAGTTGCCCTTGTAAGTTTAAATGGTCCTTGACATGGAATAAAACCTCTCTGAGCCAATAGTCAAAGTTTGATCTTTTTGCCTCCCTCGTTAATTAAAATTAAGTTTCAGTCGAGGCATGGTGAGCCAGTGCATTGTCCACATTTCAAGCTCAAAGGGCTTCTGCTTGAGGGAGCACACTAGAGATATTAATGAAAACCCCTTGCGATCATCACAAATTAGCTTAAGCTGTTGAGTCAAAATGTTCGTTGACAAGTCTTGCAAAACAGCAGCAACCATGTCTTCCCAAATCTTCATGAATCTCCTCATTCTTAAATACATTCTTTTTGTACATTTATTGCTGGAACGATATGAACTATTCAAATACAACGTCTGCACTTGTTGAAAAATCATGATTCCTACATATTTGAGCAGGCACAGATGAAATTGAGGTACCATTTTTTAAGCAGTTGCAGCAGCAGACAAATTCTGTATGGAAGTTCCAGTCATTGTTAATCTTTGATCTGTTGTTTCCTGGCAAGGAAATGCCCTTCTTCAATTCTGTAGAGTCTTCATGAAGCACTTTAACATTTTCTTCCTGATGAACATTATGATTGAGACTCCTCTGCCATTAGCGCAATGGAAGGATGGATAAAAGAACCAAATGATATAACCTGAAAATTTACCAAAACAAAAAACTATCACACTCGTTCTATAAAGAAAAAATTCCAATACTCAAGTGTATCTCCCTTCCAAATGATCAACATATCTCATTACAACTCCTAAACTTCTATCTATTGGTTACTAATCGGTATATTCTTTGATTCTTATCAATTTCAAGTAAACATCAAGACCAAAGATGGAACATAAGCCACAATGCTCTCCCACCTTAACAAGATAGTCTTTCAAGATAGATTCCCTCCTTGTCAAATTCATAATAGAAAGCAAGTAATGTTAGTTGCACAAACTTTTTCTTATCACAATTCTCACAACTAGCATGTGGCTAGATTTGTACTCAAGTTCAACTAACCTCATTTAGTAACCATTAAGCATGAATGTTAATACTCAAATTTAGTCCCTTGTTATATTTGCACAAGTATTACTCAAGAACGACTCACAGGGTCATTGAAAATGGATCAATATAATAATTAGTGCAGAAGCATTTCTTTATTAAAACCTTAATAGACATCTTTGACCCTGTAAATGACCTCCTACAGAGACCTAGTTGAACTAGATATGAATATACCTAAGGAAACCTCAGCCCAACCTAGTCAATGTAAACATATGTATCATGAGAAGAATAACCATTTAAATAATCAAGATTATGCAAACCACAATAGTGACAGTCAGAAAGATCAGACTTGTAATTGAATAAAGTTAATGAATTGAAAATTGGCTTCAGGTAATAACAATTAATTGCAAATATATTATTTTTGCTTCACATTTAGAAGTATTGTGTATCAGTGTTAGACAAGGTTATTTCAAACCTGGCAGAATACCCTGATCCAAAGCTTGAGATTATGCCAAAGTAACCCATCAAGGCGATGCATGTGATTAACAAATCCCTTCTTCAACCATCTTTTCCCTCAATTTAGTGGCTTCAGTAAAATCACCAGTTCTGCAGTACCCATTCATCATTATTTTATAAGTAACGACATTAGGAACCAACCCTTTTTGAGGAAGCTTCCAGAAAAGCCTCTGTGCTCTATCCATATTTCCTGACTTCCACAGCCCATTTATTAATGCGTTATACGTAGTAATATTTGGAACAAGACCTCTCTCCTGCATCTCATTTCTTAAGTTGAAAGCTTCATTCACATTGCCATCAACTGAGTAGGCATGAATTAAGGGACCGTATGTGAAATTATCTGGAAGAAAATCTCTCAGTAACCAAGCAGATAAAACATTTCTTGCTTCCTCAACCTTCCCAGACTTGCAAAGTCCTGCTATAGTTATGTTGTGCATGACATTATTGGGTTTGGGAAGATGATTGCTTATAAAACTTCTATCAAGAGAATCAGCAATTTTCTCGGTTTCTATACTAATGACATCAGCTTTGAGAAATTTTGTAGAGCAATTATGAACAGTAAGAAGGTCAAAATCTACCATCTTGTCCAGGAGGAGAGTCGCTTCATTGATTCTACCAAGCTTATAAAGGCTACTGACAATTTTGCTGCAGACAACCAAATTGGGAGAGAATCCCCTATTAATCATCTCAAAATATACACTGAAGGCTTTATCCAATATACCTTCGTTGCACCAACCAGCAATAAGGGTTCCATAGGTGATAAGATTAGGAGATAATCCTCTGCTCTGCATCTCAGCAAGGAGATCAATGACTTTGGTTGACCTCCTCGACTTGAAAAGTCCATTAAGAAGAGAATTATACATTTCAATGGAAGGAGAAAGTTCTTGTCTTTCCATCACATCCTTAATTTTAAAAGCTTCTATAACATTACCAATCTTACAATACCCATCACTCAGAGTCCTATATGTCATTTCATCTGGTGAACATCCAAGCTCCTTCATCCTGTCAAAAACTGCCTCTGCTTCCACCACTTTACCCATCTTACATAATCCACTGATCACTGTATTGAAACCAACTTTGCTCTTGGCAAATCCCCTTCCTAAGATGTCTTTCCATAGCATCATAGCCCTATCTGAGTCTCCCATTTCAAAGAAGCAATGAAGCAGAGTACAATAACTGACCTCATTTGGAGTTACACCCCTTTGGAGCATTGAATGCCAAAGGCACAAAGCATCATCATAAGAACCAGCACGACTTAACCCCATCAGAATAATATTGTAAGTGACAACTGGTGGATCAATGCCTTCTCTCAACATCTCCTCATAAAGCATAAAAGCCTTGCTTATATGTCCTTCCCTGCAATATCCGTCTAGTAATGTGTTATAGCTATAAGAATCTCGCCTTAGATTCCAATCCAGTATTTGCCTAAAGATTTCCTCAGCTTTGAAAACTTGACCGTGCTTGCAGTACCCCTTGATCAAAGAGTTGCAAATAAATATATTCATTTTCAAGCCTTTTTCTAACATCTTATCTCGGATCTTAATGGCGTCATCCATTTTGCCCATTTCACAATACCCATCCACTAGTACGCCATACACACGTTCATCCACTACAAGTAAGTCATCCTCCTCTATGTCTTGAAGCACATTCTCTGCTTCATTCATCATGGATTTGTTACAGTAACCTTTTATCAACAAGGTAAGAGAAACCACATTTCTTTGAATGCCCCTTTTAGACATCAAACTCAATACTTTTTCTGCCCCTTCTATGTCTCCGTGGTTTACATGCCCATGAATCAAACCGTTGTAAGTCACAACGTTTGGTTCAAATCCCATCTTCCTCTCCATCTCTTCCATAAAACTTAAAGCTCTCGCCACTCTGCCTTCCTCACAATAAGCATTCACCATAATTGTACACATATAAACATCAGGCACAATATTCAACCTCGTAATCTGATCAAAAACGAGTAACGCCGTGCTACACTCACCATTCTTAACCAACTTACTCAACAAGCAATTGCAGGACCTCAAACTGGGGATACGACCCCACTTGCCCATATTATCGAGCACATGTAAGGCATAGTTTGTCATGCCCTTCTCCGCATACATCTTCAAAATCATATCAAAGACAGTTGGAGAAAACGAGAACTCACGATAAACCGCAACAATCTCATCCCAAACAAAATTATTCTTACAAGGACTCATCACCAGTTCGCTCAAGAACACCCTTGTCTCGTCGTACATTCGAGCTCTAGCCAGTATGTGAATAATCTTGCAGTAAGACTCGACATCGGGTCTGTAACTCTGCTGCTTGCAAGCGATTTCAAAGAATTTCAAACACGCAATGGGGTTAAGTTTGAGCCTTCGGAGAACAGAGTCCATGAGCTGATCGGAAAAGTGGAAGGACAGTTGCTGGAGAGCGTGGAAACGGTGGAGAACGAGGAGGCGACAGATTCGGTCGACCAATTCGGTCGGAGGAAGCTTGCATTCGTCCCGAAGCTTCCATTGGACAGAACGAGAGAGGTGAAAAGATTTGTGAAGGAGGAAACGAGGAAGAAGGCGACCAACATTGTCGCGCAGGTTCGGAAACATGGAACAGCTTTAAGAAAATGAATAGCATGCTTTGTAACTGCGAAGTTTCATGTTTCTACCGAAAATTATTTTTTCCGAGCAGGATAGTTTCATCCTCAAATAGAATTTCAAGTGATGGGAGACCAAAGTCATGAAACAAAATTAGGTTGTTGAAAACTAACATTGGCCAATAGAATCTTCTGTTTTTTCTAATCATGATTTTTAGTTTAAATGTAGTGTAGGAAAAAAAAAGTCTACTTTTAAAATTTTTAACTGTAATTTTGAATATTATGAAGTAAATAACAAAATGGGGCTTCGATTTCTAGCATATTTTTAATTTTGATAATGATATTATAAATTATAAAATATATTCTTTTGCTAAATAAATTATTAAATATATAAAATAATTTGAATGAACAATTATTTAAAATATAAATACTAAATTTTAAAAGAGCTCGCCTTATAATTTATGTAATTAGTAATCAATATACAATATAGGAAAATTTAGGAAAAATATATTTAATCATCGTATATTTAGTGAAACATAATAGTATATTGTATCACAATTTAAATATATTTTATGCCAAAAGAGATATATATTATTAAAACTATAAAAATTTCATTTATAACCAATGAAAATTAGCTTAATTTAGAATTTTTTGTCATATCTCAAAAGTGTAGGTTCAAAATTTTGCGTAGGCCCTAAGACTACCAGGAAACCTCAGCATCAAACTCTTTTTCAATAAACTGCTTCTTGTGGACATTGGGTTAAAGTGTGCAGAAATTTTGGGCTTGGGCCTCGCCCAACATCTTTTAAACATTGGGCTAAAGTGTACAGAAGTTTTGGCCTTGGGCCTCACCCAACATCTAGTAGACATTGGGCTAATGTGTACAGAAATTTTGTGTAATTAAAAAAAAATAAAGGGAAAATAACAATTGGAGGTCTTGTATGATTAAGAACATTAATGACAATTACAAACTTTAAATTATTAAAATTAAAGTAATAAAATATTATTCTTGTTTGCAATAAATTATTTTTTATTGATTGATTTGAGATTCATAATATAATTTTATAAATTCCCAACTAACATTGCAAAAATTCATAAGCATCTTTTGTTGATTTCTTAAGAGATAGCAAAAAAGTCACAAGTGATTAACTTGTGATTTATAACTAATTCTCAAGAATTTTTAACCGATATTTTAAATAATTTCAAGCAAGGTTGTTAAACTTGCGAGTTTAAGTAAACTCATGATAGGAATATAAACTCATATTGCAAACTCAAATCGTAAACTCGTAAGAATTTACTTCTATTAATAAATATATGTTAAAATATGACTATGATTTAATTTAAATATACTAAAAATATAAATCATTGAAATTACACCCATCTACATTGATAAATTATCACATGCAAGACATAAAAATTGTAAAATAGGAAAACTGATTTTTGGTATTTTTTTCTTTTTTATCAATATTAGTTTTTGCATTTTAAGTTTTTTTTTCTTTGAATCAGGTCTTATAAATTCTATGAACTAAATTTTTTATAGTATATATTTAACTTGTTCAATTAAAAAAAAAAGAGCTTAACAAGTTTTATCAAGCTTACATCCAGTTCAAGTTTATGAATTAGTGAACACAATTTTATAAGTTAAAAATATAAAAATGATAAACTCGAAAGTAAACTCGTGAGTTTAACCAAGTTTACATCTAGTTAAACTCATAAAGTTAACTCGAGAATTTGACAACTATGATCTCAAGTGTATTTTCTTAAATTTTTAAGTGACTTATTTGTATGTTGACAGCAAAAAGTCAAAACTCACAACTAATTATCATAAATTCTCAATTAATTTTGCAAATAATTTCAAATATCTTTTGTTCTTTTTCAATTAACTATTCACATTTTTTAATTTTAAGTAAAGACAATGATTTATTATTGAAACTTCAATAAATCAAGGTTTCTAATTATCATTAATATTCTTATGAAGTCTCCAATTATTATTTTTCTAAAAAAAATACATTGACCCTTGAATTATAAGTTCACAAGTGATTAAAATCCTAAACTCTTTCTTTTTTTAAAAAATAATATTTCCCTTCAACTTTTAAATATAGTACTATCTAACTTTATTATTGATAAAAATTAATTTCAACCGTTCATTGATTAAAAAATGATAGAGAATGGCTTTAAAAATTATAATAAAGGATTTAAAATTTACAAAGTAATACAAAAAATTACATAAAAGGATAATTCTAAACCAAGTTGTCCAATCCCTCGTCATTTTCCACCCATACACGATCTTCATTCTTCAAGAAGTAAATCTATCTCTTGTTCTTCTCTTGTTAATCAAGTTAGGGAAATATGTCCCATATGGTAGTGTAGTGTTATTAAAGTAGCCTAAGTTTGTCTCACTTATTTTTTTTTTTTCTTGGGATAAAATTGTCTTACTCTTCAAACTTAGAATTTCTTGACAATCATAGTAAAACTCCACATATTCTCTCATTTTCAAACAAAACTAGTGGGTTAACATCTTTTTATTTTAAAAAAAAAGATAGTTAACGGATGACGAAATAAAATATGTAAAAACCATGTAATACTAGCAATATCAACTAGCAACATTGCTTCAGTCTTAAGCACTATAAGTAGCTGGTAATTAATAATTGATAATTCATAATTATAAATAAAATATTTGTAAGACAAAACCATAGGCAGAAGAAAGCTTGAGGAAGACAAAATAGAACAAACTTCTTAATGAAGAAGACAGTAATCACAGAACTGAAGATTTCCTATACGAAGAATCGTATCTCTTTCTTCTTCAGTTTCTCTTCAGAGTTATTTTTAACAATAATTAAATTAAAGTTATTTTTATAATAAATTATTTTTTAAGAGTGTCATATGATATTGAACGACAATCCACTAATCTTTAGTTCTTTACAATATTTGAACTCCATAAAGAATATTAAATCCTTCATACTCAACCTCGAATGCTAGTAGATGAAATTTGTTTTTGCATTTTAAAATAATAACGAAGTTAAATAAATACACACTCTTTCAAGACGCCCAATACTTCAAAACAAATATTATTACTGTAGATAAAAGCGCACACATGCATTGAAGTTCAATATATACCTTGTGTTTCACTTTATATATAAACTTTTATTTTTAGTGACAGAGATTTAGAAGTGTAAGCAGAAGGAACACATATATGCACACATATCACGTCTAATATTCCCTTTGTTAATTCTAAATTAAAGATGAAGTACATTCTTAACCAAGATTTTAATTCAAATCTTTTAAATAAAACAACTAGATTGAAAAAGTTTTCTCCCAGTCGAGTCCGAATCCTATCACAATTCAAATTAATTTATACTCAATAATAATAAATAAAACAAATGATTCATAAATTACTGTTAGTAATAAAGAGCAACCATCCATGAAAAAAATGTTAACATCAATATATTAATTTGTACAACTTAAATAAGATCAAGTAAAATAATTGATTGTGACTCCTCTATTATCTCTTTATGATTGATTGTGACTCCTCTATTATCTCTTCTTCTTTTTTATTGGAAAGGCTAGCTACAAGCTAGGGAAAGTCAAGAAATAAGAACGAGGGAATGAACTTGACCAATTGAGGTATTTCCTCTACTTTGGTCTTGCAAAACAAGATTAGTACAACCATTGGGGGCTTCGTAAAAAGGATAGAGATGATTAGGACCATCTTGAGCCAAGTGAGCCATAAAATCAGCACGAGTTAATTTCACAAGGAATGTGTTGTGACTTTAAGTTATGACATTTACTAACAAGTGTCTGTAGTTCCACAACGTTCTTGTAAAAAGGGTGATCTCTTGTTGTTCGTCTGAAAATCATATTGCGTGCTTTTACAGAATCCGAAGTCATGCATACTTTGTCAAAGTTATGCTGATTACAAAGAATAATCCCAATTTTGATAGCACATTGCTTGGCAATAGTGATTGGCATGTTTCCCAAATTGCACGTAAAACCAACAATCCAAGTATCCTCAAAGTCTCATATTAAACCACCGCAAGCAACATTGTTCTAGTGATTTTGTGACGCATTCACATCCACCCTCATTGTTCTAGCTTTTGGTACTTTCCAACGGATTTCCTGAGTCACATCAAATCTAGTGTGTTTCACTTTCAAACCTTGCCTATCTCGCTCCTCCAATAGTTTCATCCTCAATTATCTTAAGTGTTGGTAGACTCACAATCTATTAAGCACCCGTAGTTTTTTAAATAGTGCAGAGATAATGAAAAAAAAATAAAAAGTGACATGTGTGTTGATTATTGACTGATCTACTTATATGATCATATCAGTAAGCTCCTTAATAATTAAATTAATTAATCAATCTCTTATTATCCTTGATTTAGTCAATTAAAAGACGGGGAATAACTGAAGGTTATAGGATTGTAGGTTAGGTTTCTGTTCGTTAGACTCACTTGTGTGGTTCACCTATCACAATTCACACAAAACCATAAAGATCAATCTGTCTGAGCTTATTAATTAATGCAAATTTATAAATATTTATAAATATTCCAACAAAAAATAGAACAAATGAGAAAGAACAATAGTGTAAGGATTTATAATTTTTTTTTTCATATAATCAAAAGTTTAAGTGAATTGAATCATCAAAGTTCAGCAAAATCAGAGCTTGCTTCTTGCCTCAAAGAATGCTTACAAAGGTAGTAATCTGGAGGCATGCCCTGACAAGTCCAAGAGATATAACTCACATAAATACAAAATATATATATATATATATATAAATCTTTTATACTTTATTATATATTATTTATTAAGCTCAACTGTATTATATTTTGTGGCTTCTTACCTCTCCAGAACCTAGTTTACTCAATTTTTCACATCATATAACGATTCTTCCTTTAAAGGAAAAGAAAATGGTGTGGCTTAGATGGAGAGCAATAGAAAGGAGACAAGACTCTTGGTTACAAAACCTGAAAGCCAACAAAAGCACAAAACTACCACCCTGCATCAGCTTTAGCTTTTGTTTCAGTCCTATGAAACAGTAGAAAATATTATCACTAACCAGAAAGCACATTCTGATACACATACATATAAATATATATATATATATATATATATACACTCACACAACACCTGGGCATCATCTTTAAGTCCAAACAGTTACTTTTGTGGGCTGCTTTTTGCACCGTCACTTGCTTGCTGATTTCAACAATCGTAGTCTCCTTTCTCAAGTTTTCTTATATTCTTCCTTCTGGGGATTGATCCAAGAAAGCAATGATTCTTGAAGCTTTAATTAGTTTATTTTGTGTGTGCCTGTATGTGTATATAGGATGAAAAAACAAAAAAGATTAAATTCTTCCGCACAGGAATTCCATTGATGCTTCCCTTGAGTTGTAATAAATCTTGGCTTCTCTAACATTGTTTCAAAGCAACAGAAATCTCTAATCCTCAGAAATAATGAGTGAAACAGCTCGTTCTTGCTGGTTTTTCGTCTTCTTCTCCCTCAGTCTTCTCTTTATCTGTTCAGGTAATTAATATTATCTTAGATTCATATCTCTAGCTTCAAGCATTGATTCATCAATATTATGAAGCTGGCATCATTTTTCTGAGGATTCATTTCCTTTTTTTCCGCCTTTTTGTTGAATATTTTGTGAGTGAATAAATTTTTGTTTATTGAGAATATTGTTACTCCAATTGAATTCTGGTTATACCGTTGTCAGAGTTTTCTCTATTTTTGTATATTCAGTTTTAAGTTTTGATTAGTTTATATATGATTTATACATTTGTGATTTATTTTTCAAATTGCTTCTGTTGGGAATTTCTATTATAACCGTAGAAAAGAGAAATCTATTTCAAGAACAAGCTGAAAAAAACACTGATAAGTACATTCATTACCCAAAAAAATAGGATTATGAATGTGTTAATTAAATGAGTCCATTAAATAGGATTTGATAAAAAAAATTGCCTAATTTGATTCAATTATGATCACAAATTATGGATGTGTATGTGTCTCTCTGTTAGAAGAAATGTGAGGAAGGGAAAGACTAGTCCTTCTTTCTTCATCACCACATCAATTTCGCACGCTACATTTAAGCCTCAAATTTTTACTTAACAGAGAAACAACTGTATTTCAAGCCATAACTAGCTCCATAGTTGTGATCTTGTGAGCAGAATTCAATCCACATGAGATGGTATGAAAAGCCACTAAACCTAATCTATTAAGTTTCAGGTTAAGATAAAAGTTCAACCCAAGTTCATTCTTAATGATAATATCCTCTTTCAACTCAAAGCAAGCCTTTGAAAAATTATTTGCTTTCTGTCTGCTTGCAGGTTTAGGGACAGCAAAATTATTAACAGATGAACAACAGCAAGAAATCTTCTCAAGATCTGACTTTACTCAATTAGATGATGTTCCAGTAGTGAACCCTACAACTCCAGGAACAGATAATCCATACCCTACAGTGAACCCAACAACTCCTCAAGCACCAGACACATCAGGGCAAACCCCCACAATTCCTCAAACACCAGACACAACAGGGCAGACTCCACCAACAGTCCCAAACACAAACCCTAACCCTAACCCTAACCCTCCTGCAACATCAGGAGGGGGCCAATGGTGTGTTGCAAGCCAGGGAGCTTCAGAAACAGCTCTGCAGGTGGCTCTTGATTATGCTTGTGGCTATGGAGGAGCAGATTGTTCAGCAATCCAACCAGGAGCAAGCTGTTATAACCCTAACACTGTTAAGGACCATGCTTCTTATGCTTTCAATGATTACTACCAAAAGAATCCTGCTCCTACAAGCTGTGTGTTTGGAGGAACTGCAACACTCACCAGCACTGACCCAAGTAAGCATGCCATCACTCAAAGTCTTTTTCTGTTGTTATTTTCCCCCGGGGGGCAGGGGGGAATCATATTTAAGGACTCATGACTTATATTTAAAGGTTAAATTCTTTTCAAATAGTTTTACCTTGAAAGAGTTTATGTTTTAAGTAGGAATATGAACAGAATCTTACTAATAGTGGTTGGATCAAGTAGAGGAAATTTGATAACTCTTAAAATAAGGTCAAAAATTCGAGCTTGGGGGATGAAAAAGACCAGATTGGGAAGGCTACTTCCATTTAGGCCCGACAGATAGAATTTGAATTAGTTGATAGTAATAAATATCAAATAGTCATATAAACAAGCGAAAGAATTGAACAGAATCCTAGAAACAAGACTATAACATCTGAACCATTGCCTTACATTGTCGCAGGTAATGGGAACTGCCACTATGCAACACCCAAAGCACAAAGGTGAGAATCCATAGAACTTCATTTTGCAATGAACAGAACGTGAAAAATGTGATTAACACTATAACCTATAATCTTCTTCCCTCTCTCTTTGGTTGCAGCATTAGTCCACCAACCTATGTAAGCCCACCAAGTCCACCAAGTCCTATTATGACTCCAACAACTCCGATGACTCCAACCACGACGATGCCTGGTGGTGAATCAACAGACCTTGGTTTGGAACCAACAGAAAGCCCTAACTCAGCTGCATCTATTTCTTCTTCCTTGCTTTTGTTCATCACATGTGCCATCTGGACTTTCCTCATGGTGCCAAATCACACTTAGATGAAAAAAAGATTCAATTTTTCTCCATGGTATCCTCTGCAACTCGCTCATTAGCCAATTTTTCTTCATGGGAAGCAGAGAATCACATCAACAGTGCCGTATTTGTTATCGAAGAATTCTTAATTGGACTCAATCTATCGAAGACGAATGGATTAAATCAGCTATGAATAGAGAGAAATTTATGCATGTCAACATTGGTTCAGACTGAAAAGTCGTGTCTGACATGCTTATATGTCTCTTTTTGTTTAATTGGTGTATGTCTTTTTTGATATGTTAGGTCTAGCTAAGACTCTTTCTTCGTTATTTGAAGTCATGCTGTCAAAACTGATGCTATTTTTCATCGTTCAGTACGCTTTAGTTGATCATTAAGCAAACGAAAGTTATAGAATAAAAAAGATCACTAGGTTGTTTGAGACAATTTTCAGCAGTATTAGCACAATAAATTACTGGATAATCCTCTTCCATTTAGATTTTTTGTCTCTGAAACTTGTGTCATCTATCCTTCTGTTTAATAAATGAAGTACGTAGTTACATTCAACAACTTACCAAAATCAAGTTCCAAAAATATCAATGCATTTGATAGGCTTAAATTTTTTTTTTTTTGCCCCTTAAATTTTATAGATTGTAATTTTATCTTATTTCTTTTATAATATCGATATCAAATTGGAGACTTCATTCCGAAATAATGCATAATCATCGTGAAGACGTGAACAATATGATTGTTGAAGCTGAAAAGATTAAACTATAAATGGTTGCTAAATTCTCCATTTAACTTGTAAAATCATCCAAGTTCGAGAGTTCAGGTTCCTCCGATTAAATTTGAGTAAAATTGTGAGTAAAAAAACTCGATTTCACTAGCCTATATCATACTCTTTCTACCCATTTTCTTTCTCCTTTGTCAATAGCCGTTTGGGCATGCAACAGTCCACACATTTTCATCTCGTCCACGGATGTCTCCGCCCAATTGAAGCTCCTACAAATCAATGGTGTAAAAAGCTATGCACCTCGGAAGCCCAAATTCAAAATTTGGTAGTACTTTCTGTATTGATATAATAAAAGCATGCAAAGCGTCCTGAGCCCCCCTCCAAAAAAAAGGAGAATTATATTAAAGCACCACACAAAAAAATTAATTACTACAAGGACTATTGATAATTGAACTAAAGAGATTGATAACAGATTGACAACAAATTTTATAGTAATTAATTTTTTTATATGAGACCTAGATGTAATTCTCCAAAAAAAAAACAAGAAATCTGTCTTCAATAATGTTCAATTTATTTTCAGATAAAATTATTTCATGGAAATACATAAAATCACTTATGGAAAAAGGTGACGTGTGCAAATATAGCCTGCAGATAAAACTACTCATACAAATAATAACATTACAACAACAATTAGAAATTCTTGTAGCCTTGATTGGGTGGTGGTAGGGTTAGCAATTCCTCCATTTTTCTGTAAATGCTACAGCCATGTACACATTTATGTGTTATTTTGTATCACTCTTGGAAAACATGAATGCATGAATGTAAGAGATCTAATTTAAAAATATTTCCCACAAGCAGGGGGCAAATTCTCCATGACTTGCAACACAGACTGATGCCAGGAAAACTTAGACATTAAAATATTTAGAATATGACACTTTCTCCAAGTATGATTTAAAGTGTTGCACCATGGCTCAGACAAGAGTCAAACACTATACAACTCTGTTTCTTAGATACTGACGGTTTATTAATGAACCCGGAACAAAAACCAGTACTTACCAGAGATCTGCAAGGTCCTTAACCTGGGTTAGAGACTTATTTGTTGATAACTCTGAGGAGCATCAGGTGAACAAATCTAAGTTAACATGCTTGTCTCTACTGCTTGAAGAATCCTCTGCCTTTCTTTTCTTGTTCTAAGTTGAATATCAATGAGGAAGCAACACTTGTTGTGTTCTCTTACATAGTTGACATGGCCATTCATCCTAATGAGGATTTTTCTTGACATGTATAGCCCCAGACCTTCCTGTGTCGTCCATTGATTCCCACCTTCAAACATTTCCTGAAGAATTTCAGAAGGAAGACCTTTACCAGCATGGGTCATTCTGCATCGACAGGGTAATAAAATGAGACTTAAGTCTCCGTAAATCATCTGACATGACCATCACAATAAATGGACAGAAACTACGATAGGACTAACAGTTCCAAGATCATCCACTCATGACCTTGATTTGATAGTACCAATAGGCTTGCTTTTGATAGGCATGTCATATTAGGAAGGTTCGAAGGTCGTACATACAACTCATTCTGAAGTTGGACTTTCCACTTGTGACAATGGACTTAAAAACATAAGCTCATTACTAACACTGACATGAATAGAACTAGTTTGGGTTCCTTCCACATCTCTCAAGGTGTGTAGTATTTACGCTTCTAATTTGAACTGTCAAGATAGGCTTGATCTTATTATTCTTATTTTGATATGTATCTTTTCCATATTAGAAAAACACAATTCAAAATAAATAGGGTCCAACTATCACTTAAAAAAATGATGTTTTTAATGAAAAAATTAGAATAATAATAAGATTTAGATCATGGATATGGTGTAAATTAGATCTGGACAATATAGATGAGAAGTGCATATTCTACACATTTATAAAGATTTGTACAGGATCTGCACTTGTATTGAGCACGAAAATTTCCCTCACTTTTAAAATATACTTTTGTATGCAAAATTTTATTATTTCAAAAATATACTCCCTCCCTTCAAAAATGTAAAACATTTTTAACTGAATCTCACCCCCTAATAAAATAATTACTTAATTTGAAACTAACCTTATCTTTTCATATTCACCCTTATTAAATACCCTACAATAAATATAAAGCATTATTAATAGAAGCATTTTTGAAAAAAAGGCAACGATTACACCTGAAAATACTAAAAATGTCTTACATTTTTTAACATTCAATCCCTCAAAAAAATACTTTACATTTTTGAATGGAGAGAGTATTTACTTTCTGAAGTTAAAAAGATTTGTTCTTCTTCTTTTTTATAGATCAAATTTAAATGGGAAAATATATCCGCAAGTTCTTATAGTTTTCTCAATTTTAAATTAAGTCTTTACTGTTTATTTTATTTTAATTAAATCCAATCAATTAAATTTTTCAATCCTTGGTAATTAAAATCCTTGATTTTTTTTTTAAAAATAAAATCAAGAACGTTTATATTTTTATTAAATGATTATATAACTTTAGAATCAATTACCTAATTTTTATAGCTCAAAATTTATATAATTAGGTTATCTTTTAAATATTTTTATATTTATATAATTTGCATAAAAAATTAATAAAAATTCATTTGAATCAATTTTTTTATTTTGGCTAAAAGTATTAAATTAAATTTTCTATAAAATCTAAAATTATTTTTGTTTGGGAAATTTAATAATTCATTATTAATTTTAACCTTGAAGGATTAACATATTTAATAAATAAAATTTTAAAAATTTGATTAAAATAAAATAAATTACAGGAATCTAACTTAAAATTGAGAAAAATTATGAGGACTTACACATTAATTCTCTCAATTTAAATAGATGGGAACAAATGTTATTGGATATTCGCGTTTGATCATAAATAACTGTCAGATCTTTTATTTTGGATTCTATGGTGAAATGACGAAAGTTTTACCAGTGACTTTGTGAAACTGCTAGAACATCTTTTAGACATATTCTGTTTTCAGCCTATTTTAGAAAATGTTTCCAAGGGATATTTTCTCTTCAACTTCAAAAGCATTTTCACTTACATTTTCGATGAAAACGAAAACAGGAAATGTCAAAGCAAATAGACTCTATCTATCTTGTACTAAGAACTTGTCATATAAGATGAAAGCAAATCACTTAAGGGGAGAATCGTTGGCAACCACTTAACCACGTGCTGATCATCAGAGATCAAAACAAGGGTCAGTTTGTATACCTGAATTGCAGATGAATAAACTCACTTCCATCTTGTATTATCTTCAGCCCAGGTGAAATCTTTATTTCCACCCAGCCATTGGGAGATGGTGTATGGCAGACCACATTAATCAAAAAGTCAGACAAGACCACTTGAAGCCTAATTTGATCACCGAATAGAGCAAGTGTTTTGATTTCATCAGGAATTTCATGAAAGAGCTGCAAGTTTCTTTCTCTAATCAAGATCATGACTTGACTGACAATGGCATCTAAGATATTTCCAAGAAGAAACTCCTCCACTTTTGGCTGCAAAGTTCTGCAATATTACCAGCACATGAGAGAAATTTTGGAATGCCGTTAGTCTGTTGTGTAAGTATTTACATAAATCAAAATATTTCAGTGCATGTAGATAATGATGTCTTGAACATCAGTGATAAGCAGCGATCAAAGGAAAGTACAATCTTATAGAGAGAGTCCATGCAGGATAGAGAACAACGAGACACTTACCCTTCATCAATACTTGCAAAATCTGCATCCTCAATAACTGTCATAATTTGCCTCTCACAAGCATCACTGGTGTCAAGAAATTGTTTCTGATTTTCTGAGACAGCTGTATTTTGAAGAAGTTTTTGTGTGAAACGCATTCCATTTAAAGGATTCTTTATCTCTTGTAGTATATAACCTAATTTCCTTGATTCTGAAAACCTTCCTGATGGTGTATCACTTACCCCGCATTGTGGCCTTTGTTCTTCAGAGGGCCGGTGCAGGTCTGGTGATATAATCTGCAAGAAACAGAAACAGCCAATTATATTTCCACCTGCATCAGTCCTCCCGTTCACTGTTAAGAGAACCTCCACAAGTTCCTCTTTTCTATTAAAAAATCCAAATGGGAACTTCTCTGAATCTTTTCCACTGATTCCTTGATACAATAAAATAATGAAACTAGTCATTGTATCTTGACTTTTGAACCGACACAAACCTCCAAAGATTTCCCCAGGAAGCATTTTCCCTATAACTTCATCTCTCTTCCAACCAGTTAGCCTTTCCATGGCTACATTCCACTCAGAACAGCAGGCATTCACATCTGAAGCAAATATAGGAGGAATTAGTGGGTTGGGACTCTGTATGATAGCTCTGTAATCACCTTCCAACTTGATAAATTTGTCCAGAACAGATTTCTCATGAGTGATATCTTGACCCACAAAGCATACCCCAACAACAGCATTTGTGTAATCCCTACTTGTGCAGGCATTGGCCATAATATATACAACTGATTTTTGCTGATGGAGACCAAAGTGTTTCAACTTCAACTCAACATTTTTGTCCTCCTGACCTGGAGAATACATGACTGAATTATTAACCACAGTATTGTACAAATGTAACTTGCTTAGGCATCCGCTATAGTTTTCTTTTAACAATGATAGAAAGATAGGTTACTTTAAGAAAAAATTAATAATAATCACGCAAATCAAAATCCAATTCATCAGAGTTAAACACGAGTAACTTATTTCAACATTCATCTACAACAGTCATTAGAAAATATTAGAAGCATTTGTTTTCCCTGGGTCTTCAGATATCCCATGGCTTCAACTTTGATACTAATGTCATAACTCAAGGCATTTAACATTGAAAAGTTTTAGAAGAAAAGATTTACCTTGCAGAGCTCTTTTTAGAATATTGTCAACATTTTCCCGTGAGTCCTCATGGACAACTTCATTTACAAGGGATTTTCCCATAGCTTCACTGGTTCGAAGACCTGTCAGTTCAGCAATTTTTGCATTCCATCCATTGATTATACCAGCTGAATCAACCCCAAAAATTGGAACTGTTGCTGTCTCAATTAATCTAACCATTTCAAATGCCACTGAACTGAGTTCAACTATCCCATTCCCGCCCATATCAGTGTCCCCCTGCTGCACATTAGTCAGAGTTATAGGACCACAGTTCCCAGCATCTTGGAATGAATCTCTCATTATAATCTGTAATGAGTGGATAGCATTGATTTCTGATACTTCCCATGGCACACTTTTGCATTTGACTACCTCAAGAAATGCTTTAAATGAAAGTCGTGGGTTCATCTTTCCTCCATCATCTTTATCCTCTGGATGATGCTTGGCTCCTCCCCATTTGATTTCCTTTGCAGCGTGTGACCTGAACCAGAACAAGACATCTCTTGAATTGATTCTTGCTGTTGCCATGCCACAAACTGCATCCCCCAGTGAAGCAGCATCCGGGTACCCAGCATCGGCCAAACTATCTGTGCTCAAACCGGTTGAGTCCCCATGACTACTAAGTAGCCACTCTGCAATGTCTTTCACCTGTGATTCAGTTGGGGTTGTGCCTAACAGCCAACAGTTTCCACCATAAAGCAGTGCAGCACCATCACACTTCACAAGATCCATTATGCTAGGAGATTGAGTAACAATACTAAAAGGAGCATCACGGAGGAGCATGTCGCATAGTAAGGTTTGGGTTTTAAGAGTTTTCTTCTCGGCCATCTGTGATGCTAATTGCATCTCCATGTAAAGCTGCAGGCCAAAAGCCTGCATCAGGAACTCACAAGCATAGCGAAGTGGGAAAGGGACATGACGCGGTGAAGTGTGGTGACAAACAAGCAATCCCCAAAGCTTTGTGGTATCATTTCCATTGACAATAACTGCCATAACAAGAGAGGCAATTGAGCCCATGTTAGCCATGTACTGTGCATGACATTGATGTGGTGACCTAAGGGTAGAATTGACCAAGCAGAGAGGCTGCTTTAACTCTTGACATTGAATCACCTTAACTGGTTTTGCATGGCAATCACAAATCATCCTGACTCGGTTCTGCTTAAACAAGAAGCGAGCGGCTTGAGGGATATCCGAGGCAGGATAATGCAAACCCAAAAAGGGTTCTAAATCTGACCTCCTGATTTCAGACACAACCTCCCCATGATCATCCTTATGGAACTTATACACCATAACCCTGTCATATCCAGTAAGCTTTTGAACTTCTTCAACAACAGTATCGCACAAAGCACCAATATCTCCCCCAGGAAGAGCTTGCAACCTTGAAATTGCCCGTACAGCCAGTTTCTGAGACTGTACAGCGCCAGCAAGTGACAATGCATGATCACTAGACCTTGCAGGCTCCAAATCAATTACAATTCCCACATCAATCCGATGCATTATGGCATAAAAAGGCTTCTGGGTTGCTATGGAACAGACCCAAATGGGATTTAGAAGAGAAATTTCCCTAGATGACGCAGCTTTTGCAAGTGAAGCCCCGGAAGAAGGCGTGAATAGGGAAGTAGCATCAACTCCAATCAGACTCACTTTCGAATGAGGATTTCCGTTTAAACCCAACATTTCAAAACAATTCTCACTGTACCCAATAATCCGAAAAGTGGGTTCTTCTATTGTAAGCATACAACCAAATGGCTGAACAAGACCACCTCTTTGGATTCTCGACAAGTAAGCCGTCATTTTCTCGTCCGACACAGATTTCGGAGCATCAAGAACCGACCTCGAGTAATCGAACCACTTTCCCGACACACCAGATTGCTCATACTCAGCCAAGATCCCCGCGTCAGCACTGTACTGAGCAATTGCTTTGTCTTTATCAGCAATTCTGGAGCTGGTCTTCATGTTGCTCTCAGGTGACGCTGAGAAGGAGGAAGAAGGCGAGGACGCGTCCTTCTCTATATCTTTGCTTCCTTTGCTCGTCATCTTTATAAGGCCTCTGGCTCTTCCAATTCTAAGGGTTTCTGATTCTTGACTCGGAAACTCATGAGGGTATCGAAGCTAAAAGATCCATCTTTATAAGCATAACCCACGTGGTTCAGAAGTTTCTGTGATGTGGGTGGATTCCACATTGAGGATTGCTTGCACACGTCCTTATCGTCATCTTGCAGCTTGTGGGTTACGTGCTGCTTAAAATCGTTTAAGCACTCGTATCTGTGTATGCAATGGCAAAAGCAAAAGCAACGGCATGTATCATACTTCGTAATATGATATGATAGTCTGTGTGTGTGTGTGTGTGTGTGTGTGTGGCTGGGTCTGTATGAAATATTGAAATTTGAAGGGGAAAGCTTTACTCCTGGTCCCGCAAGCAAGCGTAGTGTTTTAGACCATGCAAAATTCGACTGTCCAGTGTTTCACATGTTCGGGTTTATAAAGTCCACTTGTCTAGTCATTGACTGTAAATACGTAAACTTTTTTTAAGATTATTTTAATATTTCAGTGGACTCAATAAACTGTACGGATATAAAAAAGAAAATCGTTGGGTTGACTGTATACTCATTAGTTGGACCGTTTGAGTTGTAATTTGGTTTAAATTAAAATAAATAAATAAATAAAATACTTCACATAACTTATTTATAAAATACTTTTAATGAAGTTACATAAAAAGTTGTTAAGATTAGTTAAGTGTCATTTTTTAAAAAAATTGTTTTATAGAAATTCCAAATTATCTTTGATTGAAATTATTAACTTTACAAATCAGTTTTAAAATCAAACATACCACTCAAGTGGACTAGTTAAATATGTGGACATTCTCTAAAGGCTAAGCAAAGCTTTTTGAAAGTATCTTATGTTACGGATCGGATGGAGACATGGAGTATAGCATTAACACTTACTTTTTTTCATTTAAAAAATCATTTTTAATAAAGTAATTATCTACTTTTTAACTAATTCTATCTTTTCATATTTATCCATATTAAATATCCTATAATAAATATAAAATCATTCATTAATAGAAATACTTTTGAAAAAAAGACAATGATTATATCTTAAAAGACTAAAAATGCTTTACATTTTTAAACATCCAACTCCTCAAAAAATACCTTACATTTTTTAATGGATGGAGTATTTTTCTATGAGATCAGCAAAAATTGAGTCATATGACTATTATTTTATTGCTTCTTCCATTCAATATTATAAAATATTGTTAAACAAATTATATTTTTCAATGAGTTAGTTAATTATCTTCAAAATCATACACTTTTTCTATGTTTACTTTTATTTAATAGAGTGTTTCAATTTAAAATTTTTATTAATTACACTCCTAATTAAAAGATATCTTTAGAAAAATTTTATTAATTATACATTGAAAGATCCAAAATATCTTACATTTTTTAATATGATATTTTAAAAAATATTTTATAATATTAAACAGAAGAAACATGCATCATGAACGAGATTTTTTTATTTTTCAACAGCATAAAATAATTTATTCCACAGAGATGGGAATCCAACCGCTAACCACGCGCTAAAAGAACAAAAACTCATGTTATTCATGTTAATCTCAATTATTTTATTCAAAAATATGTATTAAGCAATAAAAATAGCTTTTTTTATTTTGGGAAGTATTGTTACGTCAATTAAAAATAGAAATTTTTCGCTCATCGACCTGACTAAGAATCAGTTTCTTTCACACAAAACCAATTATCGGTTAAAAATATTTTTTAAAAAACCCACAATAAAAGGTACATTTAATGCATGGCGATGAAAAAGACGCTAAAATGAGACTGACAGCTTTTCCCTAAATATGGGACAGACTGTTATTGTTTGATGATTTGAATTTTCGCCTCACCGGTGGAACTGTGCAAGTGGAAAGCATTGGCCCACGTCTCTGTTTTTTTACTTTTTTTTTTTTTTATTTCTCGCTGTTACACAGATTCTGTAAACTCAAGTAAAAATAAAAATCAAATGCATTGTTAGAATGAAGGGAGAATGATAAATAAGGATATTATAAAAATATTAATGTAAAATTAATATTTTTTTAATATTTATATTTTCAAATTTTAATACTCCTTCTATCATATTTTAATATTAAAGTTCCTAATTTAATACTCCCTCCATCCCAAATTATAAGATACTTTTAAATAAAATTTTACATATTAATAAATCTTATTTAATACACTTAACAACCTTATTTTTTTAAAATAAAAATATAAATGTTTAAAAATATTCTTCATTTAACAATATTAAATCTATGCTTAATTAGTATTAAATAGATAGAGAAAGGGTAATATTGAAATAATTTTATTTAATGAAACCTTAATATTTTTAAAGTATTTTATATTTTGGGATAACAAATCTCTTTCAAAAATATCTTGTAATTTAAAATGGAGGGAGTATAAATATCCTTACAAGGTCTTTACTTATCATTCTCACTGAAATGAAAGAAAACTAATCAGACTAGACCAATTTTTTTACTGGTCGAATTAGATTGCGTTGTTGGATTGAGTTAAAAAAGACAACTAAAATTTTGCACAGCCTTAAAAAAAAGTCTATTATAGTTAAGAATATTTTATATTTTGAAATAAAATAAATTATAATAAATATTATTTATCAATAAAAATTTAAATAAATATCACTCCCTCTATTGAAAAATATAAGAAATTTTTTGAAAAATTGGATATTCAAAAATGTAAGACATTTTTAATCTTTTGAGGTGTAATTATTGTCTTTTTTAAATATCTTTATTGATAATGACTTTATATTTATTATAAAGTGTTTAATAGAAACAAATATAAAAAGATAGGGTTAATTTAAAAGTAAGTAACTACTTTATTGAGGGTAAAATTTAATTAAAATATTTTATATTTTTTTAACGGAGAGAGTATTATTTATTTAAACTTTTTGTAAAACAAAACCTTTTTAAGAAAAAAAAAAAACAGTTCCTTATCTTCCATTCAAAAGAGACATAATTTGGTGATGCATAGGATTCAAATGAGCGGATCAGTGGATAACTCGAAGTAGAAATGGGACGATAAGTTAAATCATATGAAGTGGGAGGGTGGTCGGCCATAAATTGGTGAACCTCATTCTTACTACATTACAATATGTTATAAACAACCAAACAAAGAAAATGAACGAAAGAAAGAAAGAATATATATACATATATATTTGAACTCCTATTATAAGTCATTTTCAATCTAATGCTTTGAGATCCAGACCAACCTAAACAGACAGAATAGTTAGACTGTCACCTAAATACAAAAACAATTCACTTTGACTTGCTAACTTATTTTGGGAATTGAATTGTTTTGAACTAAGGTGTTTTGACATAACTGAAGTTAATTCGAGAATCGGAATGATTGGATTGTTTTAAATTGGTTTTTGTTCAGGTTAAAACTTACATATTTAATATACTTTTATCTAATCAAATCAAGATAAATGAATTTTGATATATTAATAATATTAATGACAAGATTTATTATAGAATAAATATTTTATAAAAAATTCAAACATCTTAATTTAATTGAAAATAAACACTTTAAGCATATAAGATTAAACATATAATTTTTCCTTTTTCTCTTTACTCTTATTTTAGCAATAATTTTTTATTCAATATAAAAATATCAATGTCAATTATTTTGGGTTGTTATATTAAAATTTTAAGTACATAATTTATTTATTGACATTATATGAATTAAATTATTGAGAAAATTGAAAACTTATTTGTTTTTAAAAGGAAAATAAGGTAAATAAAAAATATAAATATAAAAAATGAGAATTTAAACCTAATATGTTATTGATGAAGAACTCTTAACTATGATTGATAGTATCGATATTTTTAATATTTTATTTATATATGTACATAAATATTTTTTAATTATCATATTATCAGTTCAACTATCAATCTAACCAATTAAAATATGAAAATCTTGACCTATTAATCTTTTTGGCTTGTCTAGTTTGATTGTTAAAATATTGTTTTCAATCACTTCACCAAAACTTAATAAAAGTGATTAACTTATTAAATTTGTCTTAAAAATCAAAATATTTCAACTATTCAAGAGAAAAAACACTATATTTGAAAAGTCATGTAAAAATCCTGAATCAGAATTAAATTCTTTTTTTTTGGGTAATTGGCAGCGAGATAAAATTAAAAAATGTTACTAAATGTTACTAATTAATAATCTTTTATATAAGAAACGACAAACCTGTCATTATATGTCGTATGGTACTTGCTGTTGTATTTTCAATGGGACGCTCACTTTTCTCTCTTGCTTTCCCACTATTGACTATATATGTCCAGGGTTTGCCCGGCACTCCCTCGTGATGGCACAAGACATATATCTTCCTGGTTTTGAATCATCATTCTACAACACGTAGTTTTTTTTTTTTTATTTGGGGTCGAATCTGCAACACGTATTTGAATTAGTTAAGAATGTCAAAAAGTTTGAGATTTTGAGTAGGAAAAAAGAAAAAGGAAACTATAACTCAGTGATGGATGGAAGAAATTTATATCAACTACAAATTATTTATTATTAAAATTTAAATAAATATTTATTAATTTAAATTATTTTTTATTAATACGTATTCATTCTGATTTTAATAATAATTTATTTTAAATTAATAACAGTCTATTTAAATTTTTTTTCACTTAAATTTTGATAATAATTAGTCATTTGACTGATGTAAATTTTCTTTGACGGTTATTGGTTAGTATTTAAAAAAAAAAAAGCTTGATAATAATCTTACCACATGTGTATTATTTGTTCCTCTTAAATGCTAGGGCCTAGGAGTATCTTAACAGCAATAAAAATTAATCTCTTTTATAATACACTCCTTTAGTTCTATTTATAAGATAAAGAGAAGAAAAAATTTGGTTATATTTAAATAGCACTTATCAATTTTTAAAGCTTCTCTTTACGTTTTTGCCTTTATTAAATATTTTAAATAAAAATATTAATAATGAAATTTAAGTACATTTATTAAATGTAAAGGTAAAAGCTTGTTAAATTTTAAAACAAATATAATAAGATTTAAAATTTTTTTAATTCTGATAAAATATGTTAAAAATAATTTATAAATAAATTTAAAAATTTAACTAAGTTTATTATCGTAACATAACCATTTATACTTATCTTAGTACCGCATATGCATTATGATATTCTCTCAGAATCTTGAAAGAAAACAAATGGATACTCCCAGATTTTTTTCCCCAAATAATCTTTACTTTATCATCCTTTTCTGTGAGTCTCAGAAATGAATGAAAGCTTACTATACGGTGTTATTTTCATCAGACTAAAGAACAACAAATCAAGCAGAAAACATAACGAGAACATCAGGTCATTCCTAGTCTCCAAAGTTCCATCACAAAGCAAAAAGTATTATTAATTTATTCAATTTAAAGTTTAAACTGTCTTTTATTGAACCTAGTACAAAAGCCATAAAATATTCAATAATTTTTTTCAAGTCATGTCACCAAAAAAGCAAATAGCACAGTAAAAAGAACCAATAAGACAAACATTAATGGAAGTATGAGAACAAGGCATGAACAGATTGGTAGGTGGGGTCCTCTACTCCATTTGTGGCCACCAAAGTGCTCCTAACCATGAAACGCTCTATAACGTCAATCAACATACACAAGCTCATCCACACGTTCGTGTACTCCCTGTCTATCAGACACACACTTTTTTTTTTTTTAATTTTCTTTTGTACTCGTCCTTCTTCAAGAGAAGCAGAGATATTATGAAAGAAACAGAAAATCTATAACCACACATTTTCACAGATATCCTTTCATTGTTTTTTTAAATTAATCATTTAATTTTTATAATTTTAACTCAATTAAAATTTAATTTTTATAATTTTAACTAGATCAAATGTAACTCAATCTCTAAATTTTAATTTAATCTACCTAAATTTCTATACTTTTAATAATTTAATGTATTGATTTGTATAATTTTAAAAGATATAAATATTAGAATTGTTAATGAGCTAATCTGTTTGAGGAAAATAATTTGATGAATATGGTTTAATTTATTTTTTTAAAAAGAATTGATCCATAAAGCGTTTATTATGTGTTATTATTTTGTATATTAATTTATGCAAAGATTATTATTTAAACAAAGTATTCAATTATAAATATTGCCTTTGATATGAGGCGACTAAATTTTATGTTTAGCATAGCAGTAATTTTTTAAGCGTTTATGGCCTAATAATTTTTTTTATAAGTATTGGCAAAGTATTTATATATAGTTAAAAATGATTATAAATTAATGAGTTCATGAAAAATGGTGAAAACATTTTGAAATTTTGGGACTAATATTTTGGTCTCTGCGAACTACAATATAAATTATAATTAAATAATTCATAGTTTATTAATAATGTTAGTTGAAACCTTAAATTCTTAAAAATATTCACATTTTTTCATTTATACGTTAATTAAATACCCTATATAAAAACTTTGATAATAATAATTAAAATTCTAATGTATAATTTTTTCAAAAAGAGTACTAAATGAAATCAGGATATAGTTGAAAAAATAAATATAAAATTTATTTAATGTCTTATATTTTAGACTATGTAAGGTCTTTAAAATATGCCTTATATTTTGGTCTGGAGGGAGCAAATCATTAAAAATTTTAATCTTTATAAAACTTATAAAGATTAAAATTTTATTTTTTAAAATATAGGGATTAATATATTACATTATTAAAAACATTGGGAGAGTTGTACCGAATCAAAATTCATGAATTAAGTTATAATCAAGTTAAAAATATAAAGATTAAATTATGAGCTAAAGTTTAAAAATTAAATTACAAATGAGTTGAAAGTATAAAAACTAAATGATTAAAAAAAAATTAAGAGGGGCAAGCATTAATTACCGAACCCATAACTTGCATATCACTAGACTATAAGGCTGCTGGCAATATTCTTCCAAAGTTGTGTTGGCCAAATTTTCTCAAGGATGGTGTAACTATCATGCTTGTTAAGGATAGCTATTCAACAATTAATAAATGGCATCACACTCATCATATATCATACACAAGCCCTCTTCCTTCACTCTTCCCACATACTGTAAATGATCTTCCTTTTATTTTGAAGCAGAGCATTCTGTGCTGGAACCCACTTAACCTGTATGTATTTCTCCATCTTGGAATTTAGGCCACACAAAAATTCCCAATACTTCCTCATAAACTCCATCTGTACGAGATGTGGACTTTCATCTATATCATATGTGAATATAGGCTTTCTAAAGATATGATGCGACTTCAGTTTTGTTCAATAATGATATTATCATGTGCCTTGTCAGTTTGTAACTAGGTAATTATAATTTCATAACCAATGGCATTGAGTATCAAATGGAAATGATTTGACATTAGAACTGTTTGTCGGCAAATATTAGGAAAAAAAAAATCATCAAACAAGTTTAGAAATTAAAATTACGGGAGTTTACAAGTTAAAAATCAAACTGTTTGTGCATAATACTTCATTTAAAAAAAAAAATTCCATCATTCTTATAGAGGTTAAAATTTGTCATAGTTTTAGTTCAGGAATTGGTTTTCTTTCGTTAAATCTCAAAGGATGAGTTGAAATTAAGTGTCGGTCTGAACAATATAAAATCACATGTCCTGGGACTTCAGCTACTGTACACATTTGGAATAATGAATATCCTATCCAAATAACTAAAAAGCAATGGTCTTCATAGAAGGGGTAATGTTCCACTCAAGTATGGTAAATTGAATTTAAATTTATGTGAACGCAAAAAACACTTCTGGGAAATCAACCTCTACTACGAATCTAACCCTCCTTGGTCCAAATTAGTCTAAACCCAGTGTGGTTTTAGATGCCATCGATACCTAGAAGAAAAAACCTACCCAAGTAAATACACTTACAAGTAAATTAAATATTTTCTCTCAAATTCCTTCGTCCATAAAGCTTTTCATTAAAAATTGCAAGATAGACATAGTGGTCCTTCACCATGCTAAACTAAATTTGTACCCCCCCCCTTTTCTTTGGGGGGGGGGGGGTTTGGTCCTCACTGTCTTCTAAAATCAAGAAGAATTATTAAAATCCGCAGACAATTCATAATGACTACAAAATCCTTTTCCCTTTGGTCACCAAGCACTACAAAGCTAACATCTAGATCAAGTATCTATGTACCACTGCTACACAATCTAAAACGTACAACTAAAGCACCAGAGCAAAACTGTGAGGAAATATATCACTCTCCTTGGGAAGATTTCTCAGACGGTACGGGAGAAGACACCAACTTCGCCCCTGGCCCCTACATGATGCAAAACAATATAAAATTACATGCACATGATCATGGATAAACAATTTCATTTTATATCACACATTTTAAATCCAACCATAAAGCGCAATTCAACTTTATATCAAACAATTTCATTTGTTGACGTACCTGCTGATGCTGGCTATAATCTAATGACTGACTGTGTAGAGAGGGTGTTGACTGATCGTGCTGTATTTGCTCTTGGTCCGTTTGCTGTACCTGTGAAGACGGCAGTAATTGCTGGGGGTAAACAGGAAGCTCTTGTTGCAGAGGTTGCTGCTGCTGCAACTGGTATTGCTGCTGAAGCTGAGGCTCAGGCTGCAAAAGAACCTGTTGCTGAGATTGTTGCGATTGAAGATGTTCTGGTTGACTTTGTTGCTGAAATTGTTGAGACTGTTCTTGGTGAAAGGAAGGTTGTTGATATTGAGTGTACTGTTGCTGTAGTTGAAATTGCTGCTGGTATTGCTGCTGAAGCATCAGCGCTTGTTGTGGTTGCATTTGTTGCTGTTGCTGCTGAACAAACTGCTGGTGGTGGTAGTAATAATATTGCCACATTTGATCATATGCTTGAGCATTCTGCATATTTCCATATTGCTCAGGCCCTTGCATTGCATTTAATGTGGCATGCGCAACAGGTGGTTGAGACTGAGATGCAGGGTTCTGTAGTGGCACATTTTGCATTGGCCAGCTATGAGCTGCTGCGAAATCAGGAGCAGCAGAGGATTGAAACTGATTTTGTCCTTGGCTTCCTTGCTGAATCTGCAATGCAGGTTGGGAGGGATAACTTGTAGACATTTGAAAACTCCCTGCAGGTGGATGGGACCTTTTAGGAGACTGCTCATGCCGCTGGTGCTGTTTCCTATATCCTTGCCTACGGAGCCCATATTTAGGACCTCTATGAACTTTACCAGCATTCCTCATCTGATGCCAGTTTCCATCATTTCTGTTGGACCGGGGCGGTAGAAATGATCTTCTTGCTGATTGATCATGATGTCTTCCTGAAGATGAAGGATAATTTATTTCAAAAGGGGTTTGGGCTGACTCAAAATCTTGAGCACTTGCAGAACTGCCTTGATTTGCATTGGAGCTACCTGTTCTCAGCCCATCATTTGACTTGCAGATTTCTGGTATAGATTCACAGTCATGCGATGCCATTGGGACTGAATCAGAACACGTACTTTTCTGGGGATTCAATGAACGGTTCTCCAGAGAAAACTGTTCCTCTTCTTTTGACTCAACCTCATACATTTCCTGGCCATAAGCTTTATTTTCTTTTGAGTATGATTGTGAAGTTGGTAGCATTTCCTTTTCCCTAGCTACTTGGTTTTCTAAATTGTCTGAGAAAACTTCAGTTTCAGAAAATTCTTTTTCAAAATTCTTATAAGCTTCTGGAGACACCTCTTTCACTTCCACTAAAACTGCAGATGACACATTCTCTTCAGCATCATTATGACTTTGTTCCTCAAAAACTGTGGGAGGCAATTCTCTTCCTTTCTCTTGTACTGTGTTATCCACTCCCATAAATTGAAGCTTGTGCTTGACAGCATTGTCAGGATCAGTACTAGGACCTTCCTGAGATGCTACTCCAGCATTTAGGGCATCAGGAACGGCAACAGAAGTCTCTTCTCCCCTATCATTAACTGAATCCAGCAATTGTCGACATTTGGCAGATTGCTGATGAGTATCTGTCCTAGCAAAGCCTGGAAATAACTTTACATGTCTATTCCAAGCCTTTGATACATCATGTACAGTTCCACAGGAGTCTACAAACTGGTATTGCTATAGAAGCGTCAGTATGAGAGTTTCTAAATGACTATTTTTCCATTTATCAAAATGAGCATCATGAAACATATTTTTATATAAAATAAGAAATTTTATCAAAAGGAAGAAGAAATGAGTCAGTGGTTCGTCTGCTTGGAAAGTCAGCTTTCCGTCACTATGCATCACAGAAAACCATGAAAATAAACAAACTAAAAACACAGAGCCAAAAGGGCCATAAAATGCAACACAACCATTTTATCTCTGTGCATCTCAGAAAACGTACAGAAATATAGCCAACATCTGGAAATAAAAGGCCAAGCACCTTAAATTACTGTACACAAGAATCATACTGATGGATTCGAGTAAAATTAAGTTGAGACGGATATAACCTCTAGGTATAAGTTTGATATATCCTCCGCATCTTTTGTACTCAGACCTTGGGATCCATCTGGCCTTGGAGATATTGCCCCACCAACAATTGAATCTATTACAGCTATGTGCTCTGGAACCCCATGCGCCAATGAGAACTTAATCAATTCCTGCATAAGTACAGGACATCTGTAAGAAACTTCTATTACAGTTTGAATTCAAATATGATGCTCACAATAAATAAAAATCACTCCCCTCACCAGACAGCTCAAGCTTTTATTACAGTTAATTCCTAACATTGTATTGAGACCTTGACCTGCTGGACAAGAGTTAAACTCTCGCTGCCATCATCCTTGAAGAATTTCAAAAAATCATGGCGCTAAAATTTCTTATTTTATTCATGATAGGGAAACAACATTGCATCAGAAAGCAAATGAAACAAATCTTCCATTCAGCCCCAGAAAAAAGGCTGGCAAGGCAGAAAAATCCTAGGATCTGTATGTTATAACAGAAAAGGTGACAGTCCACATTGAATGACTGACCAGATCAGACAACAAATAAAATACAATAAAAACAGGAATAAATCCATAATAAAAGAACCCAATTAAGGGCTGATTACAATCAAATAAAGGGAACTAACAAAGGAAAATGAACAAGCTGACTCTGATAAAATCCCATTTTATAAACATGGCTAGTCAAAAAATGAATAAGCTAATGAACATGAGATTTCAATAATTCTCTTCATTAAAATAAATTTAAAGTATGTGGTAGTGGCAAGCCTCTGACATGTTCATGTGGGAATATTCAATATTTGCATTTATTGTAAATATTATTGTGAAGATATTGTTACTGTTGTAAATACCTAGTTGGTAATTATTAGTCATTATTATTATTTTCCCATCTTGGTGTATAAATACCTAGTTGTATTCCAATATTCTGAATCAATGAAAAATAGTCTTCTCAATTCCACATGGTATTAGAACGGCAGATCCAAAATCACCATTAGGGTTTTCTAGGTCATGGCTCATGTAGGGCATCCTGTACAATACACTAGGCCATGATGCAGATGCTGTTCGAGACTCTTGTAGCTCTCATTGCCCACAAAAGTGTTCAAGAGGCTCCATTAGCAAAACCCTAGAGGGCATGGAGAACGGCAGTGCATATGGCACGCACATGCCATTTGAAGGTTTCACGTTAAAGCCTGCTCAGTGGAATGTGGGAGTGTGTGACACCTCCAGTCAGGTCATGACTCCCCTTTTCGGCAATGCAGCACCTTTTCCGGCGAGATCCAAGCCCCATCCACATCTAGGTACTCTTTCCTTGACATTTGTTTATCCCTATAGCGTGTTTGGGGGTCTATTTAAAGGAGTTTGGAGTGCTCTTAGGATGTGGCTACTTCTTCTCCTTTTCTGTATGGGTTCCATCTCATTGGAAGCCCTAAGAGTAGTTATTTGGACCCTCCTAAACAATCTGGTGATTGTGACCAAATATGGGACTATAATGTTTGTGGCAAAATATGGGCCTAAAGCAACAGTTGCCAAAAGAAGAATGTTTCTTCAAGCCTTAAAGGCATCTAGCAACGCCATAGTTTGGATTGCTGATTTGAGAGCCTTCAACCATATAACTTGTTGTCATAAGTTGTTTACTACTTACACCCCATATGCTGGGAATACCAAAGTCAAGACTGCAAATGGCTCCTTAGCCTGTAACAAAAGGGAGTATTCGAATTTCTGATTCCATAGTGTTGGAATCTGTATTTCATGTGCCTAAACTTGATTGCAACTTACTTTTGATCAGTCAATTGACCAAGTAGTCCAACTGTTAACCTAAATTCCTCCCACCCCATTGTGTTTCAAGATTTATCATCTGAAGCGACAATCGAAAGTATTAAAGAGCATGAGGGGCTCTACTATTTTGAAGTCACCACTCAAGTGCGTAACTCACTGGTTGTTGGTAACTCTGCATCTATCTGTAAAGTTAATGATTTTAAATTGTGGACTAAGAGAATGGGTCATCCTAATTTTCTTTGCTTGCAATGACCATTTCCAACTTTATGTCCAAATCTGAATATTAATGACACTATTGCGAGATGTGTAAACTTGCCAAACACCATAAAATGTCCTTTTCTAGGGCGAAATACCCACCCACCAAACCTTTCATAATCATTCATAGTGACCTGTGGTTGCATCTCGTACATCTAATCGTACCAAAGCAACATGGTCCATTGCCTTCATTAATAACCACACTCATGTTTATTAGGTTTCTCTTTTACGAAACAATTCTGAGGTTGCATCAACATTCATGGATTCTTCAACATGATCAAAACCTAGTTCAATATCACCATCCAAGTCTTACACACCAACAATGGAACCAAGTACTTTAACTAATCCTTGAGTACTTTCCTCAAAGTACACGCTATTGTCCATACCAGTTCTTGTGCCTATATGACCTAACAAAATGAAGTTGCAAAAAGGAAAAATCACCATATACTTGATATTGCTAGAGCACCTCATGTTTACTTGCAATGTGCCTAAGTTTTATTAAGAGGATGCTATTTTGACTACGACCTATCTCATCAACTGTATGCCTAATTGAATCTTATCATTGTAAACTCCTCTCCACAAATTGCAAGGTATTTTCTCCACATCCCATATTGAAACCAATCTTTCACTTCGTGTGTTTGATTACACAGCCTTTGTCCATAACCACCATTGAACTTTGAGCCATCAAATGCATATTTCTTGGCTATTTTGCTACTCAGAAAGGATACAAATGCTTTGACCTTGTCTCAAAACACACATTTGTCAACCTTGATGTCACCTTTCATGAAAATATTCCATTCTATCTCGATTCTTCAATCTCTAACTTGGAAAGAACAACCTAACAGAGAATTGGTGCTTCTTGAGCCACTACTACCACCAACCCCTGAGCCACTACCTTCATCTACCCTACCTGCACCAACATCTTTAAGGAACATAGGCAAACAGGAGGAGATGCAGAAAGACTACAAAAGAAAGAACTATCAGTTTACACTCGAAAAAAAAGAAATCAAAAGACAATGAGCAACTTGTACCTGAAGCGCCAAGAGAATCGAAACTAGAGGTAGCTCTTAAAGCAAAAATTCATGGTGACTTAGAATTTGGGGCAACTCCTAAAACTCCAAAGCTAGATGTTACAGAACAAGTAAATCAATTGATCTTGATCTTTCTATTGCTCTGAGAAGCAACCTCGCTCATGTGCTTTCCATTCCATAGAGAGGTTAGTTTTATACAATGCACTCTCTCCTTAATATTGAGCTTTTGTTACCAATCTTGATAAGGTGAAGATACCTAAGACTATACAAGAAGCTCTAAGCATCCTTGCATGGCGGAGTGCTATCATGGAAGAAATGAGTGCTCTATAAAAAAATGGGACATTGGAACTTGTTAGCTACCCAAGAGAAAGAGAACAGTGAGTTGTAATTGACAAGTTGAAAGCACGCTTGGTTGCAAGGGGGTTTACCCAGACATATGATCTTAATTATGCAGAAACATTTGCTCCATTGGCAAAATTAAACACTATTAAAGTCTTATTGTCTATGGTAGCTAATCTTGAGTGGCCTCTTTGCTAACTTGACATCAAAAATGCTTTTCTAAATCGAGAATTAAAGGAAGAAGTCTATATAACTACACCTCTTGGGTTTGAAAAAGGAAAAAAAAAAATCAAGTTTGAAAACTGAGAAAGTCTATATATAGCTTGTAACAGTCACCAAGAGCTTGGTTTGACAGATTATTAAGAGTTCTAAAGTTCGAAAGTTACAAGCAAGCCCTATTGGATCAAACAATGTTTGTTAAAGTCAAGGAAAGCAAGAAATGTATCCTTATTGTCTATGTTGATGACAATAATACCCACCGGAGATCACCTTGAGGAGATAGAAAGTAAAAAGCTACCCTTGGCAAGGAATTTGAAGTCAAAAAACTTAGGAAGCTAAAATACTTTCTTGGGATGAAAGTTGCTAGGTCAAGAAGAGGAATCTATGCTTCTCAGAGAAAATATATATTTGATCCTCTGATAGATATGTTGGGTTGCATACCTGTTGAAACCCCTATTGAGGTCAAGAAATCAAAGAAGAAACCTAAGGAAAAGAAGGGAAAAGAGAAAGATTCCGAGGGAGAAGAAAACTCAAATGAGGAATGTGAAGAAGAAAAAGAGAAAGCTAAAGAAAAGAAAGAAGCAGCGGACAAGGAGAGATACCAGAAACTTGTTGGGAAATTGATATATCTCTCATATGAGGCTAGATATAGCATTCATTGTTAGTGTAGCCAGTCAATATATGAGTTGCCCAATAAAAAGTCATATAGAGGTAGCCTACAAGATTTTGAGATATTTGAAAGGTACTCCTGGTAGAGGCTTGTTCTTTAGAGAACATGAGCAAAGATCCATAGAAGTTTACACCAATGCAAGTTGGCGTAGAACCTATAAAGATCAAAGGTCAACCTTCAGCTATTGTTCATTTGTGTGGAGAAATTTAGTTACATAGAGAAGCCAAAAGAAAAGAATTGTTGCAGGAAGAAGTGAGGAACCTGAATTGAGAGCTTTGGCTCTAGGAATAGCAGAGAAGTTGTGGCTGAAATGAGTCTTGAATGAAACATAAGTTGGAGCAAGCTCACCAATGAAGCTCTAATGTGATAATAAAGCTGCCATAAACATGGCCTTAAATATAGTATAACATGACAGCTCTAAACATGTAGAGATAGGCTGACATTTCATCAAAGAAAAAGTGGTTGACATATTTGCCAACGAAATTGCAAGCAACTAATGTTTTGACTAACAGATTACTTGGATTTGCATCTACATAAGTAAATTCGACATGGTTAGCACCTATAATCCAACTTGAGGGAGAGTATGGGAATATTTGCATTTATTGTAAATATTGTTGTGAAGATATTGTTACTGTTGTAATATCCTTAGGCTTTATTAGTCTTTATTGGTGGTTATTAGTCATTATTATTATTATTATTTTCCCATCTTGGTGTATAAATACCAAGTTGTATTCCAATCTTTCCATTTCTCATGCCTCTTTTCTTGTTTAGTTGGTAATTCAAAGTCCTGATTCCTAACTAGAAAAATTAAGTCAATAGCAAAGTAGAAACTAGCAATTTTGTCAACCATGCAAAAGGGCTTCAACTGGCATTATAAGTTTGTCATTCTCAGTCTTGGAAACAACCAGGTTAGCTGTCAGCAAGTTGATAACTAAGCCCAAATAGTTTATATGATATTTTGTATTGGTAAATCATGTCTGCAGTTCGAGCATAAGTCTATTTTTAGTAAAGATATAATAAAAATTAGATTGAAATAGACTTACTTCCAGAAGAAATTTGCTCTCGGGCATATTTTTGACACCTTCAATTAGGACATCTCTGGCAGCATCAACGCTGTTTGTACTCTAAAAACATAAAAGTTAAGAGAAAAATTAATTAGTTGTTACATTAGACATCAGCATGCGCTATAAAAGTGAAAACTTCTTTTCACATTTTAAGGAGATCATCTTGGAATACTTTCCAGTATTCTTGGTTCAACCCTTTATCAGGCCCTTGATGGAGTAAAATCAATTTAAAAAAAAAAAAAACAACAGAACTAAGTGCAATGAATAATGATAGCCTGCCTAATGAAAACCACAACAATCCTCAAAGGATAAGTCTTCACCTAAAACCCCCACCCAAAATGCCAAATTTCTTGCTGATATGAAAAGAAACATAAGCGAAGAAAAATGAAATCCTGAATTTAAATGAACAATGCTGGTGGCAAGAAAATGATAGAAGTATAAACTGGGAAAAAAATGAAAAAAATTAATTATTGAACAAAAGTAAGTAACTCAAAGAATACTGTCTTTTTTTGCCATTCTAATAGCTCCATTGGCATGTAACTTCCTTTATTTTCTAGTTAACAGAGGAAAGAGAAGGTTCACAATTGATGGGGAAGAAAGAGAAAATATAAAGTATAAAAGAAGGAAAAAAAGAAGAAAAGAATGCATATCAATGTTCCCTCAATTATTAATTTCGTTGTACTCACAAATTCTAATTGGATGAAATTTCATATGGATTTGCAGTCTTACGTCTGAAGAAGAAATTTGCATCCTGATAAAATTTTAGACAGATCCAAGCAAAATATCAAATTTGGCAGAATAAAACTGAATTATTTTCATAACCTTGATAATTGCAAGAACAATTTATTCCATCAATTATAGTAATAGCAAAAGTTCAAAACGTTTGCACAAAAGCAGATGAGTATATAACCTACCATATATTTTAGACGAGAGTAATTGACATATAAAACGGGTAAAGCATGCAGCTTTTTATCTGCTGCAGCCATTTCTAGTGCTTCTTTGTATACATTGAAAGCTGCCTCCATATTTCCCTGGGAATAATGATAAAAGTAGCACAGTCACTCTTCTATATTTGGGCACTGCATAGAGTCAAATTTCTATAATGGTATAGTAAGAGCTAATCATATACCAGACGTTTTTCCATGTTAGCTTTTGATATAACAGTCTCCACAAAGTTAGAATCTGATTCTGCACCACCATGAATATACGCAGCACGTGCAGCTGAAACATCTCCTATTTGTTCCTTAAACCTGGCATCGAAGAGATGAATGACTCGAACTCTCTGCACCAAACATATGATAGGGGAAATAAACACTGCCAAGTCTTGCATAAAGGTATTAAGTCAAAGTATTCTGAAGAAGAAAAAAGTTCAGCTGTTTTAGCAAGGCATAACATTGTCGCAAGGTCAAGAAGAAAAAATCGACAAGGGAAGAATTAAAATAGACTCATAAGGAAGAAAATTTGATCAGTATTTCTTAGCTTATGATTAGCAAAATTTCCATTGTCCATTGCACAATAAAGTAAAATCTCTCAAATTACAGCATGGGTAAAACTCCACCTAATTAACGTATGAATACAGTATTTGTTTAGCTTCACTCACAGTGAAGGGAGAAGGAGGACAAAATTATTTGAGCAACATTATCTCATCATCATGCAAGGCGTTCTTGATTTAGCTTACAAATCACTTACATTTCCTACCAGGTGAGGAAGTTTGATAAGGTGTCTACCAGTATCAGCCTAAATCAGAGACATCAGATATTAAAAAACCAGATTTTTCCCCCCTCTAAATGAGCATTGAGCAATTTGTAAAGAAAAATAAAAGTACCAAAAAAAAAAAAGATGGGGGTTTTTCAATACCTTTGTGATGTTGTAAGTAAATTCTTTATTAATATTCCATATCACTTTTTGTCATTTCTCAGACCCATCTTAGGAACACTGAATTAAACAATAATCAGATGCAAAGGTTGATCAACATGAAACTCAATCAACAAAATGAATATCACAAAGATGATACCTTCAAAAAAATTTCTGTTGCTCTTTCTAACGAATACTTTGCAATTTCTCTTCCCCCCTTAGTTTCCATGAAATCCACATAACGCATCCAGTATTCAGGGTAGTTGGCACAAACAATTAAGCACCTCTCATAAAGTTTTACAGCCTAAGATCAATCAAGGAAATAGAAAATCAAGAAAAGCTCAGACTACCTAAGGGGAAAAGGCAACAGTCAACTGGCAAAGTTACTTTATTGGGAATACTGTGTAGAACAATACCCAGTCAAAATCCCCTTGCAGTTCAACAAAATCCAGATAATGGTGCCAATTCTGCAATTGACTGGCATCAAGTGGCTTGACATGAAAGTAAGACCGCTGAATATTAGCCTCAAATGAACTAATTTTCAAATCCAACTGGCAAGCATTATGATATAGCTGCTCTCCCAAATTCTTGAACTTTTTCATGGCTGTCAACCTTTTTAAGCCAATAGATGAATCCATCATATATTTTATAATGCCATAAATCTCATCATCCTTGCATGATACGGAGATGTCATCATCAAGCAATGATTCAGACTGTGATTCCTTTGTAGGGTAACCCTGGCTTGCCATGTCCTCTTCCAAGAGGGTTACCAACTTTTTAAAACTGGATAAATATAAAACAAATATCTGGTAAGTGCACTATTCAAATGAATAAATAGTACTAGTACTAGCATTCATATCATCAAGTTGGACTCATTCGAGATAAAATATTAACTTAAGCCTAAGCTTAGCTTGAGAAATGTAAGGCGTATCACATGGAGGATAAAAATAGATGAGGAAGATAATGTTAGTTATTTGTAAATTAGGAATTATAGAAAATTATTTTAAATAAGCTTACGAAAAATTTCACTAAGAATAAATTAGGTTAGAATTTAACATTTTTAATGTATTAATTCATTCTTTTCTTAGAATTTCTATCTAATCTTGTATTTTAAATGTCATATTTTGGGCTCTATAGAAAGAAGCTAATAATTATAGATAGAATAGACAATTCAATTAATTATCAATAAATTCTCTTGGTTTCTCAGCCACCTCTCTCCCTCCCTTCTTCTACATCTCCCCCACTTCTCTCCTCCCTTATATTTCTCCTCCTCTCTAGAGTTGGGAAACAGGTGAGCCCATCCCATATAGGCTTACAAGCTCAAGCCTAGAAGCCAGTTTATCACAAAATTGATCATTTCTTCAGGCTCAGCCATTATTGATTAGGCTCAAGGTTGAACCCAAAAGTCCATTTTCATTTTTTTTTAAATTAAGTTTGACATTATAATATTACATATTTATGCTCTAAAGTATAAATTAAAATCTTCTAAAATCCAAAATAAGTAATACAAATCATAATTTTAAAGTACAAACACATATTTTAAAAGTTTAAATTTAATCCAAAGATGTAAATATCCCAATTTTTCAAGGTTAAATAAATACGTGCTTAAGCGAGTACCCCAAGCCCATTTTTACAAAGCTTAAATTGGTTGGGCTCAAAAGCCCTTTTATGCTAAAGTACCCTAGTTATCAAAGCCCGAGCCGAAATAAGGGCTTAAACGGGCAACCCAATGGGCCTTGCCCCTATTTCCAGCTCTACTCTTAAACGGGCAACCCAATGGGCCTTGCCCCTATTTCCAGCTCTACTCTCACCCTCTTTTGCAAAATGCCAAAAGGAAGTCATGCAAATTATCCTTTCCCATAGCACATCATGAGACAAGATGGACCCTTTAACTAGAATGCATCAGAGCACCACATTGCCAAATACCACATATATCTTGCCACCAGTTTCCTTCAAAATCTGTTAAACTTGTCAACAAAAGGAATCTCTCCAAAATCAAAGGAGAACCCCTTGTTCATCAAAGATCCCAAATACTACTCTACAAAGGTAGAACTTACAATGGAAAACCCCAAACCAAGTTATTGAAACACCAACCATTCTAATGAGTTAAATCAAATTCTAGAACAATTCAGAACCTACATGCTTTTTTGTTTTTTCCAGGTAAAAAAACCTACACAATTTTTATTCACAGATCACGTGCAAACTTTGGCAACCTTCTCAAACTCATTCTTGAGTTCTAGGCTCCAGATTTCAAATTAAGAGTTATTTTTAATCACTAATGATAGAAGCCCTTCAATTTCTGTAAATGCTCCGACAAAAAAAAGGGTAATTTCTTTCCGTCCCCTTCAAGCACAGGGAAGGAAGTTGTAAAGCATCTCTCTATTCTCATTCTTTAATAGGAATCCATCCCTATGATCTATTTGCAACCCTTCTATTTATTTTTCAAAAAATTCTCTTAAAAAAAAAAAGCTTTCTAAAAGAAAATGGAACCACCATAAAATAAAGAACTAGTCCTCAAATTCCATCAACCTAAATATTAGTAGAGTGTACAACAACATGAGACATTTTTCATTGTACAGCAACAAAACTTCCATAATGTGGCTAACAGAATAACCCAGCAATAGAGGGGGAAGGGGGAGTGCAAGTTTCAGAAAGCAAGACATACCTATCATAATACTGATGTAACTTTTTGGTTGGAAATCTCAGAGCTTGGACATATATGTGAGCAAGAGAAATCCACTGTTTCTGGGAAAACTCAAAATGAATATACTTATCCCACAAGGTATGGCATAAGTAGTCCTTCCCAACAAATGAAATGGCTCTCTTAAATAATCTGCCAAAAATTATGGAGCAAACTATCTAATTACTTTAAGTCTCAATATGGAAGAGTTACCATGAAGAGATACTTGAGTATGAAAAGAGACCAGTAAAATTAATTCAGTAAACATTATTACAAGAAAAAATGATAAATATTTACAGATGGGTGCATGATGTTGCATGCACTCATACTTATAAGCAAAAAAGCATTACTTATACATGAAAAAGTAGGAACCAAGATCCATTTACACTGATGCAAGACTTAACACGGTTACAACAATAAGTAACTATCCATCAAATATGATTTTCATCAATCCCAAGATGTAATCATGTTGATCATGCATACTAGTTGTTCATGAAGAATTTCAGAAAATAATGACTTCGAAATTTTTTATTTTATTTCAAAGACGTTGCAATTTATAGGAGAATGCAGGCCACAGAAGGTTTATCCTATCACCCTCAAAAGGGAAAAAATGAACAAAATTAAAGTGCAATCTATTGTCATCTTTATTTTATTTATTTACTTTTTTGCTTAACAAGAATTTGGCAATCTGATATGAGCCAGAGAAGATATTAACAAGAAGAAAGAAGGGCAAAACAGCTCATGTGTTGGTGAAATTGGAGAAAAGGAATTGGGCCTGCTCAACAGGATTCATAATAATCGTTGAAAAGCCAAAATTCCAAATAGGGCCATTTCCCTCTGCATTTGTTTATCGTAATGTGCAGCGCTAGTTCAGAAACAATTAGACACTGGTTCTCACGTTGTAGTATGGCTACTTCTCTTTAAATAAGTTGTCCAGTATATGGCCAAAGTTGGTTTGCCCAGATTTTTATTGGTCCAGTACAAACACCTGGAACACAATAAATATGGCATTTTTTGTGAAAATGTGCAACTTTTGCCAAAATTTGGTGAATTTAGTGGGAAAGGAATGCTGGGAACTTTAAAGGTGTTTCAGCAACTATAATCTATAAATGACTAACAGGAAATGGTCTTTTCTCTTGCATCCCTTTGATGCTCTGGCCTCTGTTCATGGTTTTCTAAAGGAAGCTGCTTTCATTGTTGTCAACAGGGATTTGTGACATTTTTATTTGCTTAATAGTTCTCTTATCCCTTTTATTTTGTCTTTTAGGAGAATGTCTAAGGCTCTTATGATTTAATTCTCCTTCTTTCTAATACAGTTTTCATTTCTACTTCTTAGAAAATAAAAAGAAGATATTTAGAGGAAAAATTTAGAAGAAACTGTTTGGTTTTTCATACTTTTTCAACCAACAAATTTATCATTGTTTTCATTTCACTGTTAGAATTAGGTATCTCACTACAATTCAATTGATGTGGGTAGCAAAACTTCCACTTACTAAAACACACAAAAATCAATGGGTTAAATTTGTGGAAATGTTAACTGACCATGACATCAATTTATTAAATTAATTACAGAGGAATCCACCAACTCATTCACTGAAAAGACAAATATTTAATTTTTCCTTAACGCCAAGAGAATCTACAATGCAATTCTTTTATAATATGTACAGATGCAGATAGCAACAATAATAAACTTTATCCATTATGTCACCTTCGAATATCAGATGGATCCTCAAAAGCTGAAATACAAAAGCTACAGTAATCAACCCACACTTCTACTGAAAACGTTGCTGATTGCACAGCTTGTTCAAAGACTTCAACAACCTTATCTACTGTGCCAAGGTGATTCATGTGGACAGCATATTTCCGCCAATACCCATAGCATAAAGGGAACTGAGACAAGAAATGGTCATAAACTAGACATATTTTCTCCATGTCATCCTGCAGAAATCATAGCAAACACCTAATATGTATTGAGGTTCAGCACACCAACAAATCTGAGGTAATGATGAACCAATTTTAATACAGTAAAAAATGAAATTGATGAATAAATAAGACACTAGGCTAACCAGCCTTTATAAATTACATTACTATGAATATGGGAAAATTAATCTATAGGTCTTTATAATTTTCCTCAATTTTGAATTAGGTCCCAGTAGTTTATTTTGTTTTATTCAAACCCTTATAGTTTAATCCATTAGATATGTTGAAGATTAAAATTATTAATAAATGACTAACTTCCCTAAAAACAAAAACACTTCTAAAGTTTATAGAAAATTTGATTTAATACTTTTGGCCAAGAAGGGGGATAAAAAAGAAAATTTGATTTAGTACAATGTTCATATTTGTATTAAATTTTTTATGAAAATTTTGTATGTTTAAAAATTATTTAGAATACATAACCTAATTATATAAATTTTGATATATAAAAATTATGTAATTAATTCTAAAATTATATAATTATTTAATAAAAATATAATTCTTAATTTTAGTTTTTAAAGGAAAAACTCAAGGATTTTAACATTTAGGGATCAACAAATCCAACAAATCAAACTATAAGGGCTCAATTAAAATAAAATAAATTACAAGGACTAATTCATAATTGAGAGAAACTATAAAGAATTGCAGATTAATTTTCCCTATAAAGATTTCAAGAAATAATATTGAGTTGCCACTTTTAGGGAAATAATCAAATGCATATTATTAGGGGAAGGAAGAATGGATGCAAGCAAACAGAAGAATAGGAAGCTACAATTATGGTCAACACAAAGCCTCACAGATATCTTTCAGTATAATTGAAAGCGTCTTTAACAGGTGAATCAGTTCAAAGCAAGTCCTTAAAGAAAAATTTAATTTTAAATTAAAATAAAAAAAATCACCAATGCTTCTTTCACATATCAGGAAGTTGTTTCACCCTTGAGGTAAATTGTTCCCACTAATAAGAATAAATGTTGGCAAGGACCCTAGCATCTTCTCAAATATAAACCACCCCACTTTTGACTGAAAGTCTTCCCTGCTTTCATCTCAAGCTTACACTTATCTAAGCTCAACGCTGTCTTTTTTTTTTTTTTTTTTTGCCTGTTCCAGACTCCATCTCCTATAAGAACTAAAAAGCTTGCTTGACGTGTTTAGCCACTTCCCTACCCCAGCTTCTTAAGGGTGATACCTAGATGATATATTCTACGCTGCTCTATAGCCATCAGGCCATCACAAAGAAACCTATTAAAGACATTTGTTCCCAGTAACCCAGGAAGCTTACTGGTGGATGCAATATCATCAAACAAAGAGGACAGAATGTGGAAGTTATCAATTTAGTATACAAAATAAACCACACTAAAGACATTTGTGCTAAGTAATGTTGGAAACTTGTAAGCGGATGCAATATCATCAGAATGATAGGACAGAATATGGAAATTATCGATACGTTCATTTTTCATAAAACTATTGAGAAATGATGCAAAAATCAGCTAAAACTGACGGAAACCAGAACAGAACTAGGATTTTATATGAATATAACAAGATTAACGAACAGAAGTTCAGCAGTAAAGTAAGCCCCTAGTTATTTGGAACACTGGAAATCTCCTGTACGTCCACACTGGAATTTCCCCCTTTCTTCTCTCTCCACCCTTTCAAACCTCAGACAATTACCGCTAAAATTGGCAGCCAAAATTACCCAAAAACTGACCAGAACAAATACATAACCACCCTAAACTGCCTAATTTCTATCCAAGACAATTTCATAACCGCCCTATGGTGCCTAAAAGCAACCTAAAACGGTTACTACTTAATTATTAATCCATCTTCCAAGAAACATGAACATGTTATGTTGATATCAAACATACTAACAACAAAGAGAAAGCAATTACCATTCTCAAGAGCATGCATAAACTTACAGGATAAATAGTCTCAATCTTTGAAATCAGTGTAGTCCATCCATCAAAGTCTAATGAACCCTCAGAAATAACTTCTTTAAGTTCAAGATCATCAAAGCCAGCTGCAAGAATAAAGTCAAAAGTTTCTTAAAGAAATTGGATAAGCAAATGAAAGTTATAAAACAGATTAGTAATTGGTATAAACTTGTGCCAATCCAACAGGGGAAAATATAAATAACAACTAATCTCTCAAAACCTAAGAAGGAAAAAAAAAAGATAAAATCAAGCTCCAAAATAAATGCTGCAGATCAGTCAATAGTTCTTTGGAAGAAGTGTTTAGAACAACAGAAGCATGCTATATAGAAACAAATAGATAGACAAAACAGTGCCATCAAGCTATTAAGCACATTTGTTTCTAAGAAAAAGTTCAAGTATGCATACTAGATGCTTTTTAAATTAGGCATGTTCTCTTATACATTTTTCTCTTAATGGTCTCATCTATTAAGCATATGCACGGAAAGTTGTTGGAAACAGCCTTTTGCAACTTTTTTATACAAGGCTACTCTCATACTACTTTAGTCAAAACCACATTTTCACGAAGACCAACGAGTTTCCAAACACACTAAATAATAATACAGTGCCAATAGCCCAATACATGATAAAGAAGAAATTCATTTTCCAACTTCCATATGCAATGCAACAGTTTTGAACTTGAATTTAGGAGAAAATAAGAAATGCCAAGAATAAAAAAGCACAAAATGCAATAAGTTCTCTATTTTCCCAGCTTTTTGTAAAAAAACATTTAGTCTAGATACTATGCATGAGGTGCTGCCAATACTTTTTTTTATTAACATTATTAAGAATAAGTAATATCCCCGTATCACTGAATTAAAAAGGAAAAGGACAAAAAACATAGAGAACAAAGAATGAGGAATGTAATAAAACTACGCAATCTCTTTGCATATCCATCAAAGGCACCCCCTATGTGTGTGTGAGAGAGAGAGAGAGAGAGAACACCAAAGGAAAGGCATCAACACTAGCATTTGGCTCCCATGCTCAGCATGATTCTAAGCACTTCATGCATGGTGGTGAAACTAGACATTTTGAATCGCAAGGCATGATCTTAACCATTTGTGATATCATGTTGACAGTGCACCACATCATTAATGAAAACAAACAACTAGGACCACATATCGATACACAAAATGGTGTCGTTTCACAACCAAACACCGTGCTCAATATCATGCAGAGCATTGAACCTAAACTCTACATTGTTCACACATACATGAAGGGAATGATCGCATGTTGTTCAAATTTAGTGTTAGGAAGAATGAAGTCAAGTTTCTTTCTCTTTTCTTTCTTTCTTCATTTCACATATTACCAATAGGCTCAAGGTCAACTTATCATAAGCTTCAAGATTTTCACACGCCTTTTTACAGTAGCACGTGATTTATTGCTGAAATGCATTTTGTCTTTTTCTTTAGCAATTAGCTATTATTGAGATAAAGCAATGACTTCTGAAGTCCTTGTGTCTTCTATGTGTGACTGTATTCTTTTCCAGTAATTAATGTTTTTTCACCAGTGCCACCAAAATTATAACACAAAACAGTAATCTGTAAATCAATTCTTGAACCCCAAATTGTCTACTTAATCATATGATATATATATATATATATATTTTTTTTTTTACTTGGTATAATATTAGATACAAAGCACAATGGAAGTTGTTGTTCGAGACATCTTAATTAACAATATTCCTAAAAGCTTGATTGATAATAGAGCACAACAGCGTCATGCAATTTATGTAGCCAACCTTACCTAATGGAATAAAACTTCTTATTATTGTTGTTATAATAGTACATATTATTTTTGTTGTAATCATCATTCTCTGAAAGACTAAAACATCCCTATGCATGCACCAGTAATTAACTCCAAAAGGATTATACACTTGAACCACGGTTAGCAGTTATATTTATACGGATTGTCTCACTATATAGAAGAAAATGAATATGTCATGAGCATATCTTGACCGTTCAGATCATCGATGGAAGTTATATTTATATGGATTGTCTCACCATATAGAAGAAAATGAATATGTCATAAGCATATCTTGAACGTTCAGATCATCGATGAAAGTTTGTTCTCTAGACAATCTGACAGCTAAAAATTGCCCAAAATGACTCACTTCCCATCCACAAAGTCACAAACTAAGAGTCTAAGACACAATCCGAACTCTACAATCAGCCCACCTTAAGAAAAAAATGATAAGAAACATGTAAATGAACCCAATTTCAGTGATTAGCAAATATACTTTATCACACTCGAGTTTAATAATAGCCAGACAAGCCTCAAGTTTCAGGCATTGGCATTTACACTCCCTTAAGAATTTTCTGAAAGGTATACTGGTTTCATGCATCGTATACTTTCCCATAAGGCAAATAAATTTCTGCACTTTCCTTTCTTAAGAAAGAAAGGACTTCCTATCCTTGGGATCTGATATTAAACTGCTCAAAAACTTAGGATATCCCTTCCATCACAGCACTGGATTCCTAACTTTGCCATCATAAGTATGCATTTACATTAGCACAAAACCATTATTACGAACAATACTAATTTTCATACGTAGCGAAAATCTGCTAACACTGACAGACATTCATCCGCTTTTCAGTGAGTGGAGAGATGCTCCTATCCTGCAAGAAGAGAGAGCACCAGAAGCATATTGAAGAATTTTCAAAAAGGAAGTAAAATCGAATATTACGGGTTGATTGTAGAGAGCAGAGCTCCGCCATTGGAGGCCAAGATATATGAACGACGAGAGAGATGGGTGAACCGTCTTTCGTTCGATCGGAGTCCGCCTAGCGACGGTGTGTCACTCGTCGAGCCTGCAGGGATGGTAAAATAAAGAGAGAATTACAATTAAGTCCAAATAGGCTAATCAAAAACCAGTGTTCTGTCAATGTAATTTCGTTGAGTTTATAATAATTAAATTTTTTATGTAAAATTTTAGTATAATTTTTTATTTAATAATAATTAATTATTATAATAAAAATTATATCTAAATATATTTTTTAAAAAAAGCAGTTTAATAAATTAAAAATTATTCAAATTATATACGATGAAATAGGTTTTTGAATATAAAATAATATAAAAAAATATTAATTTATGATAATTTAAATTTTTTATTATACGAATAAAATATATTAAAAATGTTTAAAAAATATTATCAAAATTTTAAATAATATAAAATTTAATATGTTAAATAATAAAAATATAAATTATGAAGTTGGATGTGTTGATCAAAATTTATATAAATAGCTCAAAACTTCATTAGTGTAATTACTTGTTATATCAGATATAAAATGCTTGTTGTTATTGCTGTCTATTTTTTTTCATGTTATTATAAACTAATAGTTAATATTTTTAATATCATCTGTTAACAAAAACAATACTCCCCGTGCTAGTCTAAGATGCAAGATTTTTTTTTTTTTTTGTGGTGACTATCAACAATCAACGATTGTTCTATTATTCCATGACTCGCCACTCCTTATATCCGGCAGAAGTCTATTTGAGAAGTAATATTTCAAACATGATTTAAATATACTTTTAAAGTTATCCAAACAAACACATGTACACCCAACATTTAAAATGACAAATGTACACCCAACATTCAAAATGTAAGTTTGAAAAGCTAATTACTTTAACCAAATCCATGTCTAACAATATTTTAAAAGAGGCCATTATGAACCATCGTGGAGCTAGAGGCTTGATATCAGTGGCAGAGCCACGTGTAATTGAGGGGGGCATATGTCGCTCCTCACTTAGGAAAAATAATATATTTGAGAATATAGGTTTTTATAATTTGCAATTTATATCTTTTACTTATTATATTTTGTACCTTCATATTTTCATATTTTAAAATTTAAACTCATTTCAATTTTATTTTTTTAATTAAGATCTATTCAAATTTTTAACTTAACCTTATGAATATTAGCCCACAATTTCACTATACCTAAATATTAATATTATTTATTAATTATTTAAAAATAGAAAAAAATTTAATATGACTAAATAGACTCGATCCTCATCTTGAATACTACTCAAGGATTAGTTAAAAAAAAAAGCAATAATAAATAATCAAAATTCAAAACTCAAAAGTAAATTGGGTGAATGTTTTTCATTAACTTGTTGCACTTATAAATCTATAATTGAAAGTTGGATAATGAATAAAGAAAGAAGAAAAGAAAAATAGTTGATTTAAAAAAGATATAAATGACTTCCTTTTATCCAGAACCCTAACTCTGTCATTGTCTCTCCTAACCTAGGATCCTGACTTCACTACTGCTTGATATAGTACAGCAATTGTCCTTCTGTATGTGAGATTAAGAGAACTGTCATTCACATATTGAGAGATTGTTAAACAGCTAAAAATGCGTGGTCTCTTATTATTAAACCCAACATGTCTTCTAGTTTCTTTTCTGGTGACTTACAAGGATGGCTCAAGTGGAATATGAGGAATCATGCTACTCAAAATGACTTCAACAAGTGGAAGTGGCACCAGGTCTTCACCTTCACTTGCTAGTTACTCTGGCTAGTAAAATGCAAATTTGCTTTTGAAGGAACAAGTCCGAACCCATCACGTATCAAACACACACGTGTGAAGGACATAATTTTGCTAACACATGATGACAAAGAAACCGAGTGAAAGTTCCCTCCAAAAGGAGCACTCCAGTTACATGTGGATTGTTCTATCAATATTGAGGGACATGCAGCTTGTGGTGAGATGGTATGCGATACTCAAAAGAAATGGATCCTAAGTTTTAGATACAGTTTAGGGCAATTACCTATTACTATTGCTGAAATGCTTGCCATTCAAATTGGACTAAACATTTGCAAAGAAAGGAGTCTTGATACAGTATAGGTTTTCGCCGATTATTTTGATGCTTTGAGTCTCATTTGGAGGGGCAATGACCTTAACCATCCTTTTGAGATTGAAATTGAAGACAACAGAGCTTTGTTGTGTGCCAGCTGGGACATCACAATCCAATATTCTCATAAGGAATGCTTGCTACTTGCAAACTATATGGCCAGGACTGCTCATATGGGTAAAGCATGCTTAATTACTTATGACAACTTTCTTAGGAACCGTGCTAATTTAACTTTGAATCCTTCTTCAGATATGATGTGCTTTTCAAGCTTAGGCTCGCCTCTCCTCATAAAAAAAAGAACAACATTCTAAAAGTGCTTTCACAATATACTTTTATCCCATGGTTTTTTCCAAAAAACCAAAAGTTGAATGTTAGTTACCCAAACACACTCTTAGCTATATATATGCTATATATATTTAATATATTTGTTTTCAATTAAATTAAAATATGTGAATTTTTTATAAAATATTTATTATATGACAAATTCTTTTTATTAATATTATTAACATATTAAAATTCACTTATCTTAATTTTATTGGATAAAAATATATTAAATACATAAGGTTAAATACATAAATTTTTTCAATAAACTATTAATAATATTAATGTTAACTAAAATACCAACTGTTTAAAACTGAAATGAGTTATATAGTTGCTTTCATAAATAATGAGAATTTTGTATTATATACAGAATAATATATATATATATATATAGATATATTAATAATTGTTTAATTTGTTAAATTTGATAATAAGATTAATATAATTTTAGAAATACAATAATTACAAATTCTGATATTTTATTTCTAAATGTTATGAACTTTATTTTTTATAAATTCAATTTTTTGGTATTATATAATTGAATTTTTATAATTAAATCAAATGCTTTGAGAGGTTTTTTCCCCAAGAGAAAAAAATGAAATCAAAATTCGGCATATAGAATAGTAGAAACAGTTTTTTGGCCGGGGAAGTGAGTGTTATTTTTATCATTCTGGTTGTCTTCGTCTTCGGAGTTCGGATAATAACTCTATCTGGAATGGCTAGTTGATTTTGTTAAAAAGCGACGATAATAATAATATTATCTCAGTGAAGGCTTCGGCAACGTCCGGTCGGTGTCAGAGCGAGCAAATGATGGTGCAAAGAAGTTCGTTTCTGTGTTCTTCAAGTGCGTTCTCTTCCTTGCCTGGCCCTCCTTCAACCTCTCATCGACCAGCTCTTCCATTTCAGCTACCTCCTCGTGCTCTTGGAGCTTTCCACTCTGTCCAATTCCCTTTCAATCCGCCTGCACCTTCGACAAGACTACTTACTTTCCCAGCTTTGCATACCACTGGTAAAAGCCCCCTGATTTTTTCCTAAAGTTTTTCCCTCTTTGGTTTTTGTATAATTGGAATTTGTTTAATGTAATTTCGTTGCTCTACTTTATCCTTTTTGTAATATGTTGTAATGAGTTTTCCCTTGAGGAAATCCCAGTATCAATTGGCTTCCTCACAAAAATAGAATACTTGCTTCTCTCTAGAAGTTTTTTAGTATAATTTTGCACTTTAGAATCATGAAGGTAAAAAAGTGGACTTTCCAGTAATAAAATGATAAGAAAATATCCTTTTGCTGGAGCTAATTGATACTAAAGTCATATATGGAGGGCCAAAGTAAGGTTTTTCTCATTCTTCTTAAGGATTGCTTGAGTGGCAATTGTTGTAATTGGTTTGGTCCACGGTTATTCAAGCAGCCCTCTGACCTTCTCTGGCTTTTGATCCTTGAATTCTTTGTGCTGTCATGCTTGTATTTGTCATCATCAAGGTACTAAAAATTAGAGTGGTTATTAAACCAGTCAAGATACTGGTTCAAAAGCTAATAGTCAAAATCATAGTCAAACCATGATCAAACCACTCATAGACAAAGCATTTGATAAAACCAATTAAGATATTGGTTCAACAGTTTGCTAGTTCAAGCAGGCGGGTTGACCCGGATTTCCATAGCACGGTCCTACTTCGTCTGCACTTCATTCAAACTGTTTTTACTCTTGTCGTGGATTGGTAATTTGGTATCCCAATGCCTTCTTTTGGTTGATTAGATTTTTTTTATCTGCCCAATTTAACTGAAGGGATTGCTTAGAAGAATGGTAAAAAGCTCAGACGGATTGAAAGATGGACATGTGATTCATAAACTTATTGCAGTGGAATAAGAATATATATTATTTTTCTCATTACTAGTAAATCAATGTTTTTCCTAGCTTCTACCTTATTAGCCAGCTCAAAAGTATTTTGTGTGCTTGTTAAATACATTATTGATAATGAGCACTATTGATCCAGGAAAAAAAGAAGATAATGAGCACTAAAAAAATATTTATATGTGAATACATCTATGCATGTAAATATGTGAATATGTCCATGTATATGCCTAATTATAGGTGTGAATAGCGGATTTGTAAATGCCAATTAATTATTGATGGGGATTGAGTTGCAGGTTTTTTTTTTTTTTTGTGTGTGTTCTTAGTTATCTTCTTTTCAAATTCCTTCATCAGACTTTTCATATTGTACTAACATGTTTTTGCACTCAACTTACAGCTGCCAACGAGATTGTTGAAACCAGCAATACTGGATCAGGATTTGTGAACATTGGGTACATCTCCAGTGTTCATGGTCTTCAAGGGGAAATTCGTGTGAAACCAAACACTGACTTTCCTGATTTGCGGTTTTCAAAAGTAAAACTTTCATTAATTGTTAGCCAGTAGTCTATTATTTTTGTGAATTTCATTGTATGTTATCTGGACATGACTAAACTTCGAGGGTAATTGATTGCTGTAGCCTGGGAGAAGATGGTTGAAGCAGAACGTTTCTGGTGGAGAAATGATTCAAGAAGTTGAACTGGAGGAAGGAAGAGAGCACCGGGACAGAAGATTTGGATACTTAAATTCAGAGGAATTGACACTGTGGAGAAGGTACTTACAGAGAGTGTGTTGTTTCAAAATTTTCTTGTTTTGTATTCTTAAATT